AGAGATATCACAATTTCCAGCTCACTTGTCCGGCTGCTGTCTTCTTCTACAATATCCCACATGCCAACTAAGCAATTTACAGCAGGAAGCAGCCTTCTAGACGCAACAGCAACTAAATGCCATGCCATTTGTCTTCCGAATCAAGAGAAAACAGGTTCCTGACCTGCCTCGCGAACTCAGAAGTTCATGCGCGAACAACAACGACACTCAGGGAAGACAACCAGAGGATAGTCCTCTACCTGGGGAAATTGCCATCTAGCCTGGGAAAAATCCAGGAAAGGCTTCTTGGGGCCGAGTTTGACAGCGACGACACAAGGAGTACTTCAGAGTAAAGCGAAAGTTGCACGAAGCAGAACAAATGTTTCTTGAAGGAAAGGCAGGCATGTGAGGTACGAGCGGAAAGCTTGAAACAAGACGCACGTGATCAGCGTGTTCCCAAGGCTGTCCGGGCTAACCAGTCACCAAAATCCACGGGAAACCATGGCCCACTTGTGTTCTGGCGATTTGAAAATTCAAATTTTCTTGCCATTGAAGCCCGATCGAGACTTTCGGCCGCCATGTTGTAAAGTGGCGTGAAATCGCACAAAAAAACAGCCGTGTCGTACAGCTGTGCGTGCGAACTGCCGTGAACGACCGGATAGATCTCGGCGCAGGTGTTTCAGTTAGGATACGTCGTCGACGTGTTCGTCAGATTCTGCGCCACGTTCCATGTTGTCGTGGCCAGGCGGACGAAAGCGGTCAAGTACGCCACGTGCTGGGCGTAGTGTGAACGGCAGGGTTAGGGACCATCGCAAAAGTTCGCAGAAGCCCTTGAAACGAAGAGCATACGTTTGGGGGGGAGGGAGTCGGTGCGAAAATCGCAAACCGGGCTTCAATTCAAAAAAGTATTGACGACATAGGAGCTGTAGGATTAGCATGCCATCACAGCCGGCGTAGATCGCTTGAATGTGAAAGCAATATACACCAATCAACGTTCATTGTAATGCTCAAAGGATACAACTGCATAGCTCTAGCTGTTCTCGTTCTTAGATCACCCACTGCAAGCTGCAAGGTGATATCATCGTTGCATTTATAAAGTGCTGTACATTGTTACACACTGATACAACAATGCTTGTGTAGTATAATTATTATGTGTGAGCATCCAAGTGAAAAAATGAAGCCCATATTGTGACTGTCGTTTCGTTTGAGGGGGGAGGGAGGGGGGTCAGGCCCGAAACTCACGGTCTTCGTTTCGGGGGCTTCTGCGAACTTTTGCGATGGTCCCTTAGGCTACATGTATATGGCAAGGGGAACACCGCGTGCGTAGTGTCTGCTCCAGAGCCGGGTCAGCTGGGTCAGCGGCCCGGTTGGGGGGGGGGGGGGGGGGGGTGCTTGTACCCGTTTGAAAATAGAATACTGGGTCACCTGTGACCTGGTTGTGAATGCAATGTACATCAGGGAGTCCTAAACTTACAACTTCCTGATCACAGGCTGATGTACATACAGTAGCCGCACTTCAGCGTACCCGGCTCTGACCCGGCCGGTTGCAGTGTTCGTGTCAGAACTGTCGGCGCATGGAAAGACGGTCGTTCAGAGCAGGTGGTCGCTAAACCCAGAGGTCGCTTGCACCAGGTTTTACTGTAATAATTCTAAAATCCAGATCTTTGATCATCATACGGCTACACCCTGAGATACCATTGCTGCCGCTGCTCCTCTTGTCTGCAGCGCAGTTTACCAGCACTGTCAGGTAGATTTTTCTCTTCACTTTCTATTGTTTAATATTATTATCATCATCAAAACAAAAGGAGTACTAAAGGAACCTTGAAGATGTGAATATTGGCCCATGGCGAAAAAGCCCCCATCTGTTTTACTTTGACAGCACTCAAATGTCAAGGTTTGATTTCTCACGAAAGCGTTCACAGAATAAGGGTATGAGAACTAAGCAATAACATTGTGAGAAATCAAGCCTTGATATTTTAGTTCTGTCAGCATGCCCCCTTTCCCTACCCTGTTTTACATTTTGGGCGAAATTACGCACTTCAGTAGCTCTATAATGTTGCATATTCTTGTAAGCCCACGGGCTTGCACTCGTGGAGTTGCAGTTGTGAGTTCGTACTGCGAAGGCTGGGGTCCCCTGCGGCTCCGCTGCTCCGCGGCACGTCAAGTGCGAGATGAAACGTAATCGTGACCATAGTGACAGCGGCTCGAGCTGGTGCAGCGACACCAGCTTTCGTGCTGCGGCTTGATAAAAACAATTGCTCACCGCGCTTGCGGCTCGGTTCTGTTTCCTGCGCTTTTCATTGTTGTGGACTCGAGAATTTTAAATTTAAATTTAAATTTGTTGTGCAGGCCAGAACAAGAGGAGTTTTATTGATTTTGCGCTCGCACGCAGGCAGGTAGCACGTCATCAAATAGATGTCGAGCATGATACCATGATCGCGGTACCGCAAATGTCGAGTGTCAGTGAAACAAACCGTGCTGCCCCGCTGCGAGCCGCAGTTTTGGGACTTGCCACGGAGCAGAGGAGCAGCAGTGGAACCCGACCATGAGAGCACACATTTTTAATGCCATTTAAAATCTCTGAATTCTTGTTGGTTAGGGGCCGTCCAAGGTAACCAATAACATTTAACTTTTCAAAACGAAAAGATTTCGTTTGGGCGTTGGTGGGTAAGATGGAGTTTCGCTTTGATAATAATTATTGAATGCAGATGGAGAATGCCCAGTTACTTTTAGGTATCGAAAATTGACATCAATATTTTATTGGAATTCATTTTTACCTGCAGAAAAGGTGGGTGGGTGGGGCCTGAAATATACTAAAACTTTTTGTTTTGTAAAAACAATCGATAACCCGGACAGTCCCTTAGCGACAGGAAAGATTTTACTATTTGCAGTTTCAAATCATTATTCTCACGATTGTTGAAGCTGTTGTTGCCTTTGTTGAAGTGCGCCCTTTGCCATCACAATAAAAGCTGTCATTACTGAGTTAACTTGACAATGGTTGTCCATTGCTGCTACCATTCAACGACTATCCCATTGCTGCCACCATTCACCAACTATCCCATTGCTGCCACCATTCACCAACTATCCCATTGCTGCTGCCATTCAACGACTATCCCATTGCTGCTGCCATTCAACGACTATACGATTGTTGCCACCAGTGAGCAACTATGCTATTGCCGCCACCAGTGAGCAACTATGCTATTGTTGCCACCATTCAACGACTATACTATTGCTGCCACCATTCAACGACTATGCTATTGCTGCCACCATTCAACGACTATGCTATTGCTGCCACCATTCAACGACTATGCTGCCACCATTCAACGACTATGCTATTGCCGCCACCATTCAACGACTATGCTATTGCCGCCACCATTCAACGACTATGCTGCCATTGCCGGCACCATTCAACGACTATGCCATTGCTGCCACCATTCAACGACTATGCTATTGTTGCCACCATTCAACGACTATGCTATTGCTGCCACCATTCAACGACTATGCTGCCATTGTCGCCGCTATTCAACGACTATGCTGCCATTGCCGGCACCATTCAACGACTATGCTGCCATTGCCGCTACCATTCAACGACGATGCTGGTATTGCCACTACCATTCAAGGACTATCCCATTGCCGCTACCATTCAACGACTATCCCATCGCTGCCACCATTCAAAGACTATGCTGCCATCGCTGCCGCCATTCAACGACTATGCCAATTGGTACCGGTTGTTGATCATAAAGATGCACTGTAAAACATGTTATTTTCCGTGTATTAAACAGTTCATTTAAACTTTAATTTTGGTGATTTCGGTAGAGAAAACAGGCACCTAAATTAAATTACACCTACAAGGCACTAGAGTATGCACTGTATGCGAAGGGACTGCTGGTCACCTAATTCTACATTACACCTGAAACCTGGCAAGTTCCTGGCACCGAAATTTTAATGCACCGAGAATTACATGTTTTGCAGTAGATACAGACCGCTGAGAAGCTCCGGTTGTGCTGATTACCCGCTTTGCCCACTTTGCAGGTCCCCCAAGTACTCTGCTAACCCTGTCATCCTACGTTTGCAAGCTACCGAGTTTGTACTGAGAGAAAAAAACGTGAGTGCACTGTTTGTGATAGGCGATTCACGCGGCGTTTTAACTCCCGTGCAGCGCGCTGTGTACGAATAGATACTTGTCACTTGCACACACATGCAAGGGCGATCCTTCTTGACTTTGATGTGGGCCATGTGTTCATGTTGGAGCAGAGCTCACGACGCTCGGCATGGTTTTCCTCCAGCTAATTTGTATTTTGTAATTTGCATTTGAAGTTATGGATTCTCCATAGGCCTTAGCCTAAATCGAGGGAGTTGCTATTGCGGGAAAGGTTTTCTGAAATGTTGCGGTTTGATCATTGGCGCTCTCAGACATTGGCTGTCACTTTTCAATTGCATGGCAAGGAAGCATAACATGTTTGAAGCTACCATTCTTGAAGCAAGATTGCAGACAATCAATCTATTGCCGGCGTGACAGTGCTTGAGATGCGCTCATCATTTTCAAATGATGACTGCACCATTGTTTACTTGCAGAGCATCGCTGGCCAAAAGCAAGGGATAATGAAGCTCCAACTTTTACTATGGCAAATCCCGGTCTCTCTCCCACACATCTCTCTCTCTCTCTCTCTCTCTCTCTCTCTCTCTCTCTCTCTCTCTCTCTCTCTCTCTCTCTCTCTCTCTCTCTTTCTCTCTTGCTCTCTCTGTCTCCTCCTCCTACCCTGTCTTTTGCTCCCCCAGTAAATACCGTATTTTCGGAAATTAGCGCCTGTTCTTTATCACCGCCTGTCTGAAATAAGAGCCACGTCAGAGCTGTTGGGCAGGTTTTTCAAATTGAGTGAAAATTTAGGGCATGCAAACTCGTAAGCGCCTCGGCCGGTATTGCCGAAAATCCAGTACAATAAGTATGTTGCCATGTTCTCTCCCTTGTGAACCAGTACAATAAGTATGTTGCCATGTTCTCTCCCTTGTGCATGTTTTAGATGTTTCTGTTTCTCCGCTTGACATCGGCACTGCTGGTGATGCTCTGCTGCTTGTCGGCTTGGTCGGATGCCAGCGCACTACAACCAAGACGGCCAGCCCAAGAGGCATGCAGGATCGTCAATCTCCTAGCGTATTGCGGTAGAGTCGGTCTGCAAGAAGTGCCATCCGGCTTACCTGTCGACCTGATATCGTTGTAAGCATGCAACCGTGTCTGTATATTCTTTTACACGACCACGCTATAACCGATACGTAGTGATAACATCGCAGTAAGAACATCTGTCTAATGCAGTTCGTATCCCACTCGATTTGCGTCGTAGTGCTGCAGTCGCTACTTTTGTGGCCATGTAACCCATGTTGCACAGCCACAAAGCCGATGGGACTATGAACAGCCGCATGGTCGTCCTGCCTCTGTGCACGTGCATGTGATATGGCGCACTGGTTTATCGTGTGTAAGAAATATCGGAAATAAGAATAGAAAGTCGTTTTTCAAACACCCACTCTATAACGGATACGTTCTGTACTTGCATGAAACTGTACCCTAAAGTTGTACCAATGACAGATATCTCGTGCACAATGACCGCAATATACCCCACAATCTTGCTTAATGGCCTGTTTTCGACCGCAGAATTATGCGCATAATTTTAGGATCTTCTTCGCTTTATTCGGTGGGGACAGCAAAGTGTGCAAACTCCGCCAAAAACAGGTCATGCCGTGCTACACAGTTAGGTAGTTGGGGGGGGGGGGGTCAGTATTATTGACATGGAGGAAGAACAAGCTATTCACCCAGCATTGAAGGCGGTGAGCTTTCCCGAAGACGTGCTCACCATTACTCTGGCCTTTGAATGTTCTCCTTGTGTCTAGGGACTTGACCGGCAATTCGTTTACCCAGATCAACCCTCAACATTTTGACTCATTGACTAGCTTGACAGATCTGTAAGTATATTGTTTGAATTGTCAAGTATAAATGCCTGATTGCCTTGTACAGTGTGTGTGTGCTGAGATACAATTGACTGTTCTCTCTATCTATCCATCTCTCTCTCTCTCTCTCTCTCTCTCTCTCTCTCTCTCTCTCTCTCTCTCTCTCTCTCTCTCTCTCTCTCTCTCTCTCTCTCTCTCTCTCTCTCTCTCTCTCTCTCTCTCTCTCTCTCTCTCTCTCTCTCTCTCTCACTCACACACACACACACACACACACACACACACACACACACACACACACACACACTCTCTCTCTCTCTCACACGCGCACATGCACACACACACACACACACACACACACACACACACACACTCTCTCTCTCTCTCTCTCTCTCTCTCTTTTTTTCGCCCTCACTCCCCCCCCCCCCTCTCTCTTTCTTTCTGTGTGGAGTCATGACCGACCACACCACCACACTGCTGGCATGCACTGACTGGGCTGTGATGGATGCTTGCGCAGACAGATCTTGACAGCAAGTAACCTGGCTGCTGCCCTGTTGTCCTCCTCCCTCCTTCATACCAACTGGAGTATGTTACATCAGGGAGCACACATCTCCTTGCAATTGGTGGTGGTGGTGGCCAAATTTCCTGTTGCCATATCTTCTACTACTCTTCGTCTAAACCATTACATATCCTATATCTCTCTCCTGTGCCTTGTACGGTGATGCTTCTCTTTTTATTCTTCCCTGTAGCATCCTAGATCAGAACTCCCTAACGACCATCCCGCCGAAAGCGTTCGCCAAACTAACTAGTCTTGAGAGGCTGTAAGTTTATTTGTCACCGCAGGGATTGGGATGTGCTCTTTGTACTGTGTTTGTTGCCAGTGCTGTTGCCAGTGTTTTTGTTACTCTTTCAGGTGTTCATATTCGCGGTAAATAGTGGCCAGTATGAGAGAGAGAGAGTAAAGGAGAGAGAGAGAGAGAGAGAGAGAGAGAGAGAGAGAGAGAGAGAGAGAGTAAAGGAGAGAGAGAAAAAAACGAGACATAGAAAAGGAGTTCCAGTGGGGCAGACATCAACGACCAGCCCAATATCATCGTCAAAGTGCTAACAAGCCTCAGGTTCAGGCTGACGTACGGTCTGGCTTCCTACTGTATGATGCATGGACAGGCAGATGGAGAGCATGGACGGAGGGGAGAGACAGTCGGTAGATCAGAGATGCACCGGCTGGGACTACACACAGCCTAAGTTTATAAGAGGCTCGGGCTGGGGAGGGGGTAGTCATACTTCAAACTATTATCATCGCCAAAAAATCCTGCCGATGCTGTCGACTATCATGTGCAGAATTGGCCAGGTTTTTTAGGCGACGATTGAAGTTAGTTCAGGATGGACCAGAGTGCGGGAGAAAAGCTGTCATCTGCTGAGATCGGAGTGATTTTGCTCTGCTTTGACGGTCTTCGGGAGTACCGAAAGATCTTTATTCAGAACGGTTCATAGTTGTCGCCATTTATCAGTAGCGTTCAAAACCTAGACTTTGTGAACTGCCCCCTTATGTAAGCCGTATCCATATAGTGAAATATGGGTATGGCGAAGAGTACAGTCATAACCAGAAGTGTGCAACTCCAATCTTGAGCTGCGATTGGTTTACCGACGGCGGAGTTTCTTTATTACGTCATTCTTCGGCAGAAGTATGATGAAGTGCGTGTGCTTTCCCGCGCTTGTTTTGTAGATACGGTGAGAGTTCATCATGTCCAAGACACATGGATCTATCGTCCGTTGTTCTACGTCGACTACCGTAGCTGTGATGTACAAATCATTTGTACTTTGATCTCTGGCTGCGCATGATGGCATCAGTGAGCCCGACCGCCGCCGAAGACTGATGTCATAAAAATATGAAAAATCCGCCGTGCCCTGGGGGATCGTCGAGTTGCACACTCTTGGTTGTGTACTCTTGGTTGTGTACTCTTGGTTGTGTACTCTTGGTACGGCCTATATTATGGGTTTCATTGCAAATATAAACTAAAAAAAGTCTCCGGAAATTGGTGAATGTCCACAGCATGTCTCCCACCAGGGACCGTAGCTAAAGACCAGAGATCTAGCCACTAGGCTATTGTAGAGTTATCATATGAACAGCCACCGTTTAGAGTTTTCTACCGACTGCGAAGGCCACCCTTGCTGTGAAACGAGATAGAAAGCATCACGAATGCCAGGCGGGAACAAAGTGATTTTATTTCTGGGGAGAGTTGCCAGCTGTATGTGCCCCCCCCCCCCCCACACACACACACTTCGCCGGAGTGTATTTTGCGCTGTCGTGATGTATTGCTATAGGTATAGGACAGGCGACTATGCAGCTGCTGGCTATGGTTGGGTTGTCCGTGCTGTTAAAGCTGCCAATGGATGACTGAGTGCTGGCTGTCTCTTTGTGTGCTGTCTTTCTCTTTGTGTGCTGGCTGTCTCTTTGTGTGCTGGCTGTCTCTTTGTGTGCTGGCTGTCTCTTTGTGTGCTGGCTGTCTCTTTGTGGGCTGTCTGTCTCTTTTTGTGCTGGCTGTCTCTTTGTGTGCTGGCTGTCTCTTTGTGGGCTGTCTGTCTCTTTGTGTGCTGGCTGTCTCTTTGTGTGCTGACTGTCTCTTTGTGTGCTGGCTGTCTCTTTGTGGGCTGTCTGTCTCTTTGTGTGCTGGCTGTCTCTTTGTGTGCTGGCTGTCTCTTTCTGTGCTGGCTGTCTCTTTGTGGGCTGTCTGTCTCTTTGTGTGCTGGCTGTCTCTTTGTCTGCTGTCTGTCTCTTTGTGTGCTGTCTTTCTATCACCAGGAACCTGAACAATAATAACATAAGCCGTATTGCTGCAGATGCATTCAACCTAGACACCGGCTCGCTGCCCCTTACAACTTTGTAAGCAGATTTTGAAATGTTTAAAATGTCTTGACACTTCTTATCCCTGTCCTGGTGATAACTTGCTTTTCTCTATTCTTGGAATAAGCCACGTCCCCTGCTCCGGGGAGAAGTCACATCCCGGACCTGGGGCCACACCGCAATGCCCCGACCTGGGGGAGAATTCACATCTCCGGACCTGGGGACGCGTCATTCTTTCTCCGCTGGCGATGTGGCTTAGATCAGCTAAAATAATTATTGAATGCACAAGAGAGTGCCCAGAGGTTCCTTGGTGCCGGAGATTGAAATTCATATTTTGTTGAAGTTCAATTTTCCGGCAGAAAGTGTGGGTGGTTTGGACTGAAATGAAATATACTACAACTTTTCGTTTTCGAACAAAATCTATTCCGTTTACCCCGACAGCCCCCTTAGGGCATGTTCGATTGGTAGGATCAGGATCAAGATTTCAGATCCTTCGGATCCTTCAGAGTCAACCGACCACTATATTTTGGACCTTGACCGTTGCCATGTTGACGAAGTAATAAAATGACGCTCACGGGTCGACCGAAAGGGTGAACGTTGTACTCGTCAGCGCGCGTCTTACGAACAGTCAACAAGAGTATCTCGGTCCACGTGTGTGCATACCACAATGTATGCAAAAATGGTTTTTACCCGACATGTATGCACAAAGGTCACATTTGGATCGATTGGATCCGGTCAACCCTGCTCCCCGAGGTGGGTTGACCGGATCCACATCCAAAGGATGTACGGGTGCGCGTGGCTCGTGCACGAGCAGATTGTAGGGATGGTATATTTCGCTTAAATAAAGCCTGTGATTGAATATCTCGTAACATTGATGAGAGGCCACCGAAATACCGGAGAGATTCACACATAGGGAAACCTAGGCAGCGGTCTGTTCTTGCAGTTGGCAAATGCCAAGTGCAAATGTGCCGAAAGCTATGGCCTGTATGGACACGATTTGGGGTTGCGAGCGTTAGAATATGACGCGGGGCGTAATTGTGGTGGATGGAGTGAGCAAACGCTATGTGTTTAACTTTAAAGAGGAAGAATGGAGTGGGCCACTTCGTGCGGTGTAGAAGGTCAGAGTGGTTGATATGGGTGTAGAGAGGGAGGCGCAGGCATAATGGCGCGGATTTCCGCTGGATTCTCTCCAGCTTGTCTAAGTAAGTTAGTTTGGGATATGGGGGTTACAGTGATGCTTGCAAAAGAGTACAGTGGTGGGATGCGTGAAGTATAGATGGTTGCAAGAGCAGAAGTGATAAGGGTTGATCTTAAGTGGAATAGCAAGCTGAACGACTTGAGTGATTTCACTATAATGCTCGAAGGTTTTTTGTCCAGCGCATGTCATGTTGGACTATTAGAGAGGTTCCGCATAACGTAATTACGTTAGTAAAAACGTAGTCGATCTACGGAAAGTCTTCCGTAAACTGCATGCGCATCTGTGTTCCGCCATACGGAGTTTTCAAATCACGTAGCTGCCGTTGGCAACTCCGAGCGCGGCAAAGTACGGCCAGAGCGACCTGGGGAGAGAGTCATAAATTCGTACCCCAATCCACTTACGGACCAGCTACGTTATCAGAGCCCTATCTACGTACTCTACGTAGACAACTTTCCGTTAGTGGAGTGCAAACTCGCGAATTCACGGGTTTTTCCCGCCCACTAATGTAAAGTTGCTCAACTTTAGGTAACTTTACGGATTGCGGAACCTCTATTATTCCAAGGTGGCGGTGCTGTGTTACTGTTTCTATTAGAGTTTGCCCAAGTTTGATTTTGGGTAGTCGTGTTGGGGGTCGGTTAGCATGGTAGATGGTTTTCGTTTTATTGATTAGCAGGTGCCAGCGCTCTATCCATTCTGCTGCGGCATCGACGCTTCTTTGTAACGCAGAATCACACTCAAGGTAGCTGCCTGCAATGGCACTCATTGCGGTGTCATCCGCGAACTGGCTACACGCGGTTGTAGCATTTTCACAGGCAGTGCCAGTGGGCAGGTCAATGGTGTACGCCAGGAACACAAGTGGTCCCAGGACAGAGCCCTGGGGCACTCCTGTTGGAATTGGAATGAAGGCGGATGTCGTGCCTTCAACCTGCACATGCTGTCTGCGTCCTGCCAGGTACGCTTTGAGCCACTTGTGGGCCTTTGCCATTGACACCGTAATGGGTCAGCTTTTTCAGCAAGCCTTGATGCCACACGTGATCGAACGCTTTGCTGAGGTCGAAGAAACACGCAACAACATGCTTCCCAGCATCCCTAGCTGTTGTCAAAGCCTGGCTTAGCAGTTTCTCGACCTCTTCCACTGTCGCTGCAATTGTATTTAGGGTATGGGCTATATCAGGGGTGTTGTTCATGTCTGGCGTAGTGCAGGCGGTATTGTTGATGTCTGGTGTAGTACAGGCGGTCTTGTCCATGGACGGTTGGCTTTGTGAGATAAACAACTAATTGAGAGCTGTTGCCTTCTCCATGGCCGTGGCTGCAGTGGAGGTGGCTGTCGATAGTGTGGGAATTGTTTGCTTGGGCGCTTTCTAGAGGTGTTTCAGTAGTGGAGGTTGTCCCCGTCAACGTTGTTTGCTGGACAAATTCGTGGAGGTTGTCCCCGTCGACGTTGTTTGCTGCACAAAATCGTGGAGGTTGTCCCCGACGTTGTTTGCTGCACAAAATCGTGGAGGTTGTCCCCGACGTTGTTTGCTGGACAAAATCGGACTTAGCCTGTCGTAAAAGAGCAGTTACTCTGTTTTGCTGAGCTGTGTAGAGTTTCCAGTACGAGTCTAATTGGGTCGCCTGGTAGGTGCGGAACTGCTTGTGTTTTGTTTAAATCCCGCTGAGGACATCCTTCGTCATCCAGGGACGAGTGGGCGTAGTGTTTTTGCAGGATTTGCTTCTGGTCACTTGGCAGTGGTGCACGGCTAGTTGCAGTATCTGGTCTCGCCAGAAATTCCAGAATGGGGTTACTGGCCGAGGGTCAGTGAGGTTCGGGTTGTGTTGCTGCTGCTGTTGTTGGGGAAAGGAATCTTCGCCTTGAGTCGATCGTGTCCTACTGTGTTTCCGTCGTCGACTCGTAAAACAGTCTTTTCTCAATATACAGTCCATTCATTGGAAACTGGCACCCTAACTTTTTAGTGTCTCTCTCACATAGTTGTAGATATCGTGAAAACAACAGTACATCCTGCATTGTGTGACCCGTGCAATTACTTCTTGCCGCATTTGAGGCCAGAAAAGTCCAAGAACAGGGAAATAGAAATTCAGCCCGGTTTTACAGAATTAGGACAGGTATGCCATGGCAAAATGTACGGATAAGCAGATCCCAAACCCAAATATTCGAGATTTAAAGTGGTTTTTGTTCCTCAATTCGGCCCAAATCGGACTTTCAAAAGCCAGCGGGACAGTTTCCGATGAATGGACTATAGTCGTGCCATCAAATTATCTGATTAAAAAAAAGAAAGAAAAAGATACCGGGTGGGTGGTGCAAACTGTGTTTTCGGCAATGCTGGCCGCAGAACTATTAGTGGTTAGGTTTTTTTAGTTTGCGAGTCCTAAATCTCACTTAGTTTGAAAATTATCCACATGAAAGCCCTGAATCGATGTGGCACTTCTTTCAGCCAGGTGGTAATAAAGACCGGCGCTAATTTCCGAAAATACGGAAGTAGTTTTCAAGTAGGAGTAATTGAGTTACAACACGTTGTATTCGGCTCTCGTTACGGAGGTTTAGTCCCATGTAATCCGTGTGTACTTTACGTGTGTGTACCACGTGATACTCAGTGACCCACGTACAGACGTTTTCTGATTCACGACATACCGTGTATGGAGCCTCACCCACGTTCCGGCAGAACGTGGGTGAAAATCAGAATGGAGCGCATTGTGCAAGCTGTGAGGGTGCTCAGCTGGAGAAGTTTCCGAAGCACGAAATCAAAACATTCGATGAGCTTCGAAGCTTCGTCTTTGACCAAGTTTGGGCCTTTTGCTTCATGCTTTTGTTTGTTCCGTGTGACTTGACACAACATTGCAAACGTGGGTCCATTGCAGGAACTTTACGTGTATCACCCGCATTCCCGTATCCGTGACGTGAGACTAAACCTCCCTAATACTGCACAAGAGAGAGAGAGAGAGAGAGAGAGAGAGAGAGAGAGAGAGAGAGAGAGAGAGAGAGAGAGAGAGAGAGAGAGAGAGAGAGAGAGAGATATCAGGACAGGGACTAAACCGTGATAGCTTTTGACACGCATGTAAATTGGCTTGTTTTTTTGCGTGTGTGTGTGTGTGGGGGCGCACGTGCCCGTCTGTGTGTGCCACTGTATTTATGTCTGTCTGTTTGTCTGTCCGTGTGTATCTCTGTGTGTATCCCTATCCGTCTCCCACTTGCTCTGTTTACAAGGCAATTGCAAAGCAACTTGTTGACTGCGCTACCCGCCCAGTTTTGGACCGATTTGGACATGCTAAAAAACCTGTAAGTTGGATTTTTCCTGAGCATCCGATCACATCTACATGTTGATCGGTGCACTCACACCAGAGTTATCCGGACACCAACATTTGGGTCACTTCAGTCTACCGCACACCCCTTTGGGTCACTTCAGTCTACCGCACACCCCTTTGGGTCACTTCAGTCTACCGCACACCCCTTTGGGTCACTTCAGTCTACCGCACACCCCTTTGGCGAGTTTCAGTGGAAAGATTACTACTTGTTTGTATACTTTTAGTGGAAAGGACAGTGACATCCCATGCCCTGTCTCAGTCCTTTCCACGTCGAAACATAATATTATGTGACTGGGAGTTAGGAGTACACTAATTTCAGAAATTTTTGGTGCTCAATATTTTCGGTATGAGGGCAACAGGCCAGATCAGGTGAACAGACATTTTTTCGTACAGAGAAGCAGTTCCCTATTGGATTATGTGTGTCGGTGTTTGTTCGGTGTACACAAAACATACGTGGGACAAACGTATTCATTCCCGTGCATTGGTAACATTAGAGTCACGGGACAGGCACCTAAGTGACCTGATAGTAATTGAAATTTCAGGTACGAAACAGACGCACCGAAAGTACCGAAAATAAAGGTACACCGAAAATTTGTGAAATTACAGTACCAGGAAGTTCTGGCCATGCCTGGTCCCGGACCGTTCGGACAAACGAGGTATGAGTGAGTGATGAGTACTGTAAAACTGGCAATTTATTGGTGGTGTAAAGTTCTCGGTGTTTCGCAAAACCAACGGTTCGGTAGCGCGAACATTTCGCTAAACCAGTTTTCCAGATCCAAAAATGTATGTAGCACACTGTGTGGTGTGGCATGGCGTGGTAGATTTTCAGATCTCGTTTTATTTAGGTAAAAATTACCTGCACCGAAGTACTGTAAAACACGATATTTTTCGGTGTAACTTTAATTTCGGTGATTTCGGTAGTGAAAACAAGCACCTAAATTTAGATTACACCTAAAAGGCACTGGAGTACTGTAGAGGCAGAAAATTTCGTCGGTCAATAATTTCGTCCAACTCCAAAGAAAAGGAGTTCGTCCGGTTGAAAATTTCGTCCATGGGTCATAAGAGTGTATTGAAACGCTGGACAAATCGATATTCGTCCTACATTTAATTTAGTCCAAAAGCTCCTTGAACGAAAAAGACGAAATTAAATTCCAGACGAATATTTCTGCTTATACAGTATGCACTGTATGTGCAGGGAATGCTGGTCACCTAATTCTACATTGCACCTGAAACCTGGCAGGTCCCTGACACCGAAATTTTAATACACCTAAAGTTACAGGTTTTACTGTAACCGAAAATATATCTCCGCCGAATTTTTCCGGTTTTACAATATCAATACTTTTCACGTTCATATAAAAAAATACTAGTCCGAACATCTGCGGCTGGTTGGGTTCTTTTCATTTGCTTTGGGTTCTTTTCATTTGCTTTGGGTTCTTTTCATTTGCTTTGAGTTCTGTTCATTTGCTTCTAGTTCTTTTCATTGGCTTTGAGTTTTTTTCATTTGCTTTGAGTTCTTTACATTTTAAAATTGTTTTGGGTTTTAGTTGCATTTCTATTATTAGGTACGTTTAGCAATGCAAAAATTCGAACTTTTGGTGGTGGCGATATTTCGCGAAAATCTGTTTTGAAAGAGAAAACTTGTGAGGTTTAGCAATGCGAAACGACTTTTTCTCGAAGTTATTTGAATCATAGTACCGTACCGTATATGCAGCTCAGTCTCAAGCAGGGGGCTGTAAAATTACTACTCCCTGTAGTGAAATGCGTACCGAGAAAAGAGAAAGTTACTTTCGCAAATCACTGCAACTTCGCGTCCAAGTTTTCGAAGTTTCGACCTTTGTTTCTGTACTCATTCCCAGACTCGAATTTTCTTTCGAACTTTCGCGTTGCTAAACGTCCTTAATGATAAAGATGGTATTTTAAAGATGGTATTTTTGCCCGTACCAGAGACTTGGGAACGAGAAAAAAAACTGTCAATCCCGTGCCATGACAGAGTTTGCATCATCTGGCTGGCACTCTTTATGCACTACTTGCTATCCTGTATCGATGTGTACATACACTAGAATTAGGGTGTAAGAGGATTTATGTCCTGCTTTTTTTTGTAACCGTTACAGCCATCTCGACAAGAACAGGATCACCGACATCTCTGCTCTGAATCTTGTCTCTGCAACTCTGCTGTACCTGTAAGACTTTGCAGTGTTGGGTCTGTTGCCAACAGGCTCGGCTGTTTGAAGGTGTATTGTTGTACCTGCCACCTTTGTTGGTTCCAGGGTTCATATACTTTCTATTTGAAGTATACATACCTGTTAACCATGGACTGCTTCTGGCTAGATTAACTCTTGTGTAATCAATGGTGCTAGTGACTCTTATATCAGATCCACTCTGATTTAGCCACCCACACTAGTAGCAAGTATTACCTTCACTGGGGGCAGGGGTAACTGCAGTTGGATCGCAGGACGGATACCCTGATGCCGTCAATCCTTTTTCTGCACCTTGTCCTCACCCCACTTACTGAGGTGTGGTGAGCCTGTAAGTGGAATCATTTGCAAGCCCACCCATAGATTGGGGATTTCAGGGGGTGTCGGCCGTTGGGCAGTTCAATAGCCAATTGAGTCCTCTTTCCAAGATTCCTTTTGAGTTCCTCTCTCCCCTCTCCCGGGGAGACCCACGTGACCAATTTTGGCAGTGACCAAGTGCAGTACAGTGTGTGTGTGTGTGTGTGTGTGTGTGTGTGTGTGTGTGTGTGCGCGTGTGCATGTGTGTGTGTGCATTATTTTGTGTGTGTGTGTGTGTGTGTGTGTGTGTGTGTGTGTGTGTGTGTGTGTGTGTGTGTGTGTGTGTGTGTGTGTGTCTGCAAGTGTGTACATGTGCGTGCGTGTGTGTGTGTGTCCTACCACCTTTGTTGGTTCCAGGGTTCATATACTTTCTATTTGAAGTATACATACATCTTATCAAGGGTAGATAAACAAGAGTGTGCAACTCCGGATCTCTTCTGCACAATCTGCCGATACCCAGGCCAGCGGCGGAATTCTTTTGTTGACATCACCTTTTTTCCGAAGAAACGTGCATTTTGCCGCAGAGCAGTGTGAGAGCACGTGCTGGGCACCGACCTTGTGATGTAAAGCCCGACCAAGTGCACGAGGCAAAACTTTCCAAAAGACTCGCAGCGCGTGCGTCGTCGAAAAGAGTACGTCAACAAAAATTCCGCCACGGGCCAACCCATCCCGGAGTTGCACACTCTTGTTTATGTACTCTTGATGTTACTCTTAACCATGAACTGCTTCTGGCTAGATTAACTCTTGGGTAGTCAATGGTGCTAGTGATTGCCATGAAGCCCACATTCATTACTGATGGGGCATTTTTCGGCCTCGCAGTATTTTCCACTGTGTCCCGCCAGCCCGATGCGTCGGTGTCTACTCCGCTGCAGTTTCATAGGCGGCATTTTGTGAGTGCTAGTAGAACTGGGTTTTAGTGAGGTCCAGAGTGCATGAAGCCCAGAGTATGCAGCTTTGATGGCTGGTTGTCACGGCGAAATATCCGGGATTTTTTCACGGTTCGCTTGAGCCTCGGCTTGAATTACTTCACTTTGGTGGTGTAGTGTTCACAAGCAGAATACAAGCACATAGTTATCTTTCTGCACACGTGCAACTTAGTTCTACACACTACGCCACTTCCCGCCTCAGATCTGCACCATACGCGATGCATTGCCGGAATTTCGCCGTGACCGACACCCATGCAGAAAAGTCAGAAGCTGCTAACTGTTCGGTCAGTGTCGTGCAATGTTATCGCATGAGCTGATTGTTTTGTAACTGGTGGTGTTAGCGGACTTTATAGCTTAACTTGTAGTTCCTTGGTCCCTTTATTTACTACTCAGTATAAATGTTCAAATGTTTGTCAATTTGTTCCCATTATGCGATCATGAGACCATGCAGAAATCAGTATATGCATGGTTCTACTCAATCTGCTGACAGCATGCTGTTTCGTTCTTTGTGAACTCATCAGCGCAGCACAGAGGAAATGAAAATGCAATGATATGCAATGAAAATTATTTTATTTTTTAATTTTATTTTTTTCTATGTCCACATACCCAGCTCGTAAATAATACAGAAAGACAATGGTACTGAGACAAGGACAAACGTGACAACTACTGAGTAGGGGCTGCACCGAGACGCGGCAATGATGGTGGGGCATTGGTGGCTCATGTACCCTGTACAGCGCTGCTCGATGAAATCCAGTCGCGTCACTCCCTTTCGCGCCTCACACCGTTTCTCAGTCCAGTGTTCGCAGGTCTTGGGCTGCGCAATGCCCGGCGCGTACTCAAGTGACCTGGCTGGATTTCATCCGGCAGCACTCTACATGTGTGTTCTTTTAGAAGGCTGGAAACTAGCCTGGTTTGCTGAGGCTGCTTGCGAACAGTGCTCAGGCTACACTTGGTAAGATTTTTTTATTTTTTTAATTCTTATTTTTCTAGGGAATTCCCAACAGACGTCATCACCTTTTTAGAGGGAACCCTAAGAAAGTCTTGATGGATGATCGAAATTCAGCAGGTGAACCCCAGTGTGCTGTTTGCTGGATAATTGTAACGAGAAGCGGAAGGGGGCTGTGGAAGAGGGCAGGGTGCGTTGGTGAAGTGAAATCTGTTGGCTGTGTGGGCATGAATGGGTGTGTGGGGGGGGGGGGGGGTGCAGGGGAGGTCGGTATGCTGCAAGGGGCTAGTTGGGGCGTGGCTGCGGAAGAGGGCAGCGGAGGCTGGTAAAGTCAAAACGGTTAGTTGGGGGTTGCCACTTTTGATGCTTCACAGATGTTCTGCACTGGCTTGCTTCCAATGCCTATAGATCTCTGGCTTATAATCAAATAACAACTCTTCCGGAAGGATATCCTTTTGAAAAAGTACCCAAGATGGAGGCACTGTAAGTTTGACCAACGCCATTCTTCTTCTTCTTCTTCTTCTTCTTCTTCTTCTTCTTCTTCTTCTTCTTCTTCTTCTTCTTCTTCTTCTTCTTCTTCTTCTTCTTCTTCTTCTTCTTCTTCTTCTTCTTCTTCTTCTTCTTCTTCTTCTTCTTCTTCTTCTTCTTCTTCTTCTTCTTCTTCTTCTTCTTCTTCTTCTTTTTCTTTTTCTTTGAGCTAAAGCATGGCCTCAAGGGTATGCCACTCCAATCTCAGAGTTATGGGTGCTCTGCGCGGCATGCTTCCTTCGTTGCGTAGTGAAAGGAGTTCCACACCAGGGGGGTACCCACGTAGCGCCAAGTACCGCCAGAAACAAATCTTGACAAGTGTGACAAACTTTTTTCCAGGCGCACTTCGATGAGCAGTGCTCGTCTTGTCAGCGATCGCTCCTGTCCCAACGTAGAGCTACCCAAAGAGGGCGTACCGTGGTGACACGTATTTTATTTTATTTTAAGCGTATGTGCCTATACCCGAAACGTACGTCGTGTGAAACAACTTGTTTTGTAGTCAACTAGTCCATCACAATGTCATGCACGAGGAGTACTGTAGGAGTTTGGCTTTCGGCTTGTACAATTCGTTTTCGCAAAGCTTCCCCTTTCTTTACTTATCTTTGATGACCCACCCGAGTTGGGTGGTGTGCTGCTTTGCTGCTTCGAATTGTAGTTAGACCGCTTTGTCAAATATCGTACTGGTCTCGTCATCGTCCAGTAACAACCGACATTCTTTGTTCCGTTGAGACTGTAGCTTTTGCTCGTTTTCGTTGCGCTTGCCTTCCCGTCTTTGGTCTTTCCATAACCTTGAACCTTCCAAGTTGGAAGGCTGTCGGTTAGCGCTACGGAGATGTGTTGAAGCTAGGTGTCAGGACGTTGAATGTCTCAGTACTCTGTCAGTTTTGTGCCTAGTTATGGCACTCTCTGACTGTATAATTATAGTATCCAGTTACAGTGATGGAGAGTTACTCTTAACTCGTATCCATATGTCCTTTTCCTTTCTATAAAAATAATAATGTACCTCTATATAGTTTCAGTGTCTGCTCTAGGATTTCAAACCCACACGTGCACCTGCCATAACCATTGCAACCGGGTCAGAGCCGGGTCCGTTCAAGTGTGGCTACTGCATGTGCATCAGGGAGTTGTAAATATTTTAGGACTCCCTGATGTATACATGTACGAGTGTAATTATTGTATTGCCAACCGGGTCACAGGTGACCTGGTGTTCTTTTTCCAAACGGGTCCAAGTACCCCCCTCTCGACCGGGTCGCTGACCCGGCTCTGGAGTAAACCCTGGCTGTTGACTGTTAGGCCACACCAAGTTAATTCTGTGTTTCACGTGGGATATTTTCTGGAAAAGGCACGCAGGCGGGTGGAAAAAAACAAAAACAGAAGAAAAAACAAACTCCATTATATGTGAACTGAGCCATGTTGCACACAGAATACCACTACTATTAAACTGTCACTAATATCCAAAACGACAACAAGTCACCACAGGACAGCTGGTAGACTGGGCTGGAGCGATACAATAAGAGGTTTCATGGATGGCTCCTTCTGCACTTTGACGTGAGTCGAGTGGAGTTCCGCTCCATCACGATCGTGGAAAATCTCGAAGTCATTGGCACCTGGAGTCTCTGCTCACTTGGTGAGCAGGCACTACCATACGGCTTGGAAAAGTAGAAGTTTTCATCTCTCGCACCTTCTACGTGCCATCGCCTGGAACGCCAGATAATCGAGAAGCTGATAACCTCTGATCTGCCATAGTGGCTAGAGAATGTTCGCCAGAATAGCCATCGATTAACTCTTCTGAATGCTTTTTTTCTTGTCAAGGATTCGAAAAGGTACGCGCGCGGTGACGCGAAACATAGAAATAACTTGCTGTGGCCTTACCTAACTTATGGTGCCTGTACCGGTAAATATCACCATAGCAACAGCGAATAGCTGCATGCGCAATGAGTTTCAAGGCAAAATGATAAGGCACACAAATTTGATGGTCCGTTTTTCGTAGCGCAATCCTTGAGTGCTAGGGATTTTGATCATTTTCTATTCAGATCCATTGTACTCGTACATCCACATGAACTAAGCAAAATATAGGCCAAAGACAGGTCTATACAAACCACCCTGCCGACCTCCTTGGAATGCGGCCTGGGTGTGAGTTGCCTACAGTTAGCCTGAATGACGTCAGGCTCAATAAGGTATGTTCAAAGGCAGTGCGTGTGCGGAGACGTATCATGTACAAAACCATCCGGAATCTCCGAGAATAACAGACTTGGAAAGGGGAAACCGTGCAGATCAACAACGTTATCATTTTTAAGATGGCAGCCTACCCATAAATTTCATATAATATTACTGAGGCCACAGCTTCCAATCATGACATGCAAAGCAGCATGGCATTCAATTGACCGTAACTTTGATGTCGCTCAATGGATTTGAGTGAAATTTCCACCACACACTCCTGCCACTATGCTGGCCCTCTGGACATGATTTAAAAGTTCTTGCGCCTCACTGACAGGCTTTCCAGGCCGGAAAAATTCCGGCATAGTGCCACGGTGTGCGAGCCACCCAGGAGCCAAAAAATGCATTTACAATTTTTTTTCACATTTTTCTTGCCCATTCTGTCCGTGCGAGGGATCCAAACCTAAAAAAAGTCCAGAAAGAGCCATGAGTGGTGGGATATGGTCCCTCAACGTGGCCCTGGAATCTGTCACAACGGCACGAGTGGGCGTTCTCTCATAGACTCCACAGACCCAAGTCAATTTTTGAATTTTTTTAGGTTTAGCACGTGCTACGAGGTCGTACCTTTGATACAACATCCAGTGCTGGACTGCTGGGACCTCCACAGCGCTGCACACCAAATCCAGGATACCCTCAAAAATCGGCAAAGACTACCACTCACGTTCCACTACTGCCTAGTACTGAATCCTACCTGACTTCTTGACACGACTCAAACTGGCCAAAGTCACTAAATCAACGTCAACTACAATAATCAAGCCACATTATCTGCAATGTCACGAGGGTGCTGGCAAAAGTCCTGCAGCCCAATACCTGGCTAAAAAACGTGATTTTTGGGGCTTGGAGCAAAATTCTGGACACTTTCGCGTTTTCCATGATACAACAAGTTGCACACGGTCTGCCCAGATTCAAATACAGTGCTGCCAAAAAATGACAGCGTCCAACAAACAAACCTTTCCTTGCAAGGGCACATTTTCGGCCATAACTCTTGAACGGCTGGTCAGATCGAGACAAAATCTTCAGAGATTTTGCAGCTATTCTTGCTCTTTCAACTGATGTAGCACTCGAAATGAATTTACAAATTAGATTTTTGCAACGACGTGACAGATCTGAAACAGCGCAGTTCCTGCACTACGTCACCATGATGAGATCAGCCAAGCTGCGACTTGCGTAAAACTCAAATTTTCATGTGTTTCACAGTCCTGAAACTAGCCAAGTTTGCATGATTTAGACGTCCTGCTCTAGGATTTTGGTGTTTTTGTGGGACTGCGTACATCAGCTGGCAAGTAAATTCACCTGGCTATCCGTGTCAAAAACCGAAATCAGGACAAACTCAGTGATCTGCACCACCGCGAGTGGTTACGCAACTTTTCACCGTGTACCTGTGGCTTACCATGCCGTCAGAAATGACGTACTGAACGGATTACGCTCCCACAGGAACCATCCCGAGTTGCACATTCTGGTTTATGTACTCTTGGTACCGCGAACACCCCACACACGTCAAGCGAAATAGCACGTCATAGTACATTTGAGATCAGCGGGAAGAAGATGACGACGTCCACTAATTTAGTATCTGTGCACACGAATCTGCTGTGTGTGTGACTCTGTGTGTCAGCTATGATAATCATCTCCTGTGGTTCCATGTCTAGCATGTACGTCTGAACCATCCTGCAAAGTTTGGATGATGTAGGTTGAGCGATCGCTCCGCGAAACATACTTTTTGAAATTCTCTTCATAGTATACCTTCCACCATTGAAATTTCGAATTTCTTGCTGAGAGGGGTGGCTTGCAACCTCGATATGGCTTGTTCCAGGCATGCTTTGGAGCCATCTCCTGTTGAAGTAGTGGCGGGGATCTGCCCTGCAACTGCTACAATAAAAAATGATTCGATCTGAGAAAGGGTGAGACCGCGAATCTCGGTTGAATATTGAGTATTTCAAGCCTTTTCACGACAAAGATGGAGTTCTTTTTGGAGATGGGCGTCGCGGCAAAGGACATGGTGTCCGACTTCTGGCGTCTGGTGAAGCCAGGGATCATTTGTCCAGTCAGGTCGGCAGCCTAACCGTCGGTAAGCTTGTGTTTGGATCCCGTTCTGCTCGATGTGGTAGATCACAAACAATTTGATATCGCACAAATGGATCTCACCATCGTGCGTTCGGTATTTTATATTCAGAAAATCCCAAAGTGTCTCTGTGTGGCCATGCTATGCCACGATAAACTCCAATCAGGCTCCCATGTCCACTGCCTTCATGATTGAATGTCCACTTCGTTTGAACAACAAACACAACAATCGAGGACGGTTTTGCAATGAAAAATACAGCTATACTGGAGCTGAAAAAAGGAGAAAAAAACGTGCTCAGGATGAGACTCGAGTACACGCATACTCTCCCAGCAGGTGAAATGCAAATTTTTGTGAAAAATGCGTGTCGCCGACTGACCAGTAATTTCGCCTGACGAGCCACATGGGCGTGGTGGTCCGAGTGGTGAACTGTGCATTCCTGATCCCAGCATACTACCATGCATTACTCATTTAATCCGGATTAGGCAATGCACAATGGGCTCACGGTTCGTGGCCATGCAATGCTGGCAGCACATCACGCCACAACCAATATCGTCCCCGGCATGTACTATTGATGATTCATAAATCACTTACTGCCAAAAAGCTATGACTGCGTGGTCAATAATCTAACCCATCTCTCTCTCTCCTTCGCTCTTTCACTTTATCTGTCTCTCTGTGTCTCTGTCTCTCTGTCTCTCTCTCTCTGTCTCTCTCTCTCTCTCTCTCTCTCTCTCTCTCTCTCTCTCTCTCTCTCTCTCTCTCTCTCTCTCTCTCTCTCTCTCTCTCTCTCTCTCTCTCTCCCCCTCAAACATTTGCAAAAATTCATCTGCATACATATGCACAGGCACACACTCTCTATGTGCCTGTCTCTCTCTCACACACACACACTCTGTCTCACACACACACACACTCTCTCTCTCACACCATTGGACCATTGGACGCCCATCGCCGGAGGCGATGATAGCGATGCTACAGCAGAAGCCATAACACCTTGTGCTGGGATTGCACCATTCAACAGCTTGCAAGGCTGAAGAATTGACCGCTACTATTCAGCCTGGTCTACACCACACAGCTATGAAGTGGCTTTTTCTGGCCAGTGAATCCCTACTTTTTGGCCTCTCTCTCTCACACACACACGCACGCACGCACGCACGCACGCACACATACACATACACATACACACACACACACACACACACACACACACACACACACACACACACACACACACACACACACACACACACACACACATACACACACACACATACCGGTACACACACACACACACATACACACGCACACACACAAAGACACACACACACGCACTTTGTCTTTCTCTCCTGAGCCTTCCCTTTTGTCCTGTACCTGTTATTTTGCAGGAGATTAGATAACAACCAAATGGTATCCTTTCCTCAACAAGGCCTACATTTTGCTTTGAAGTTAAAGCTTCTGTAAGACCTTGTCTTCAAATGTGTGTGTGTGTGTGTGCGCGCGCGCGCGCGCGCGTGTGTGCGTGTGTGTATATGGCAGGTTGGCGATGTAATAGTGTACATGTGTGCACATGAACACACTGTTCATACATGTCTAGGTACTTAAGAGAGCATGTCTGAGAAAACCAGAACATTTGTGCAAGTCGATCTCTCAGATTTCGCTCAAATTTTCCAGGTAGGTTTGATTTGGGGTGTAGATCGACATTCCAAATCCCGCGCAAAATCTTTTGAAGGGAACCATGAAATTGGCATACCCCTCAATATTGGCCCAATATTGGCACGATTTGTGGGTCTACAAACGAGCCACGGCACAGCGTACAAGAATAAGCTACGAACGAAACTCCATCAAGCCAACACTACCTCACCTTAGAAGAGTTCTTGGGGCAGCACCACTTAGCCACGCCAGCATCCCAGAAGACGAGGGCAATCATCCCTTGGCGCCACAAATTATCGTCTTGAAAATAGCCAAATTACAAGCGCTGATAAAACAGCGAGCTACGTCCTCAATAATTATTTACAAACACTATACACCGGCAGATAGTAGAACACCTCTTCTAGCACTGAGGACATGTCCCCCATCATCCTTTTTGGGTTTTCTTGAAGTAAACAATTTTGAATGTTTCCACTCGACCATTCTGAAATACGTCCAAACTCATACCTGCGCAGGAAAGCAGGTAGGTTTGCCTTGGGGTGTAGATCAACATTCCAAAAGGACTCCGAAATTCATGAACTAGTTTCCAAGAGAATGCCCGGAAACTGTTTCCTGAATTTCCGAGTCCCTATTGCTGATGGTGGTGAAGAATAGTTTGAGATTTGTAGTTTTTCTTTCGCTGATAAGCTTCCTGTCTGCAAGAAAGTTATGAAAGAGAAATAAGAAATGTTTTTCACACCTTACAGTGTGAGGCTTTCGTCTGTGCTTGTACATTAGCTAGTGTTGCTAGGCTGAGTACATAATACCTTGACCATCTTTGCACATACGCTTCTCTTTGTTTTTGTTTTGTTCGACACCTCAGTTGGACACCAATCGATGCAGTATCTCTTCCTCTTTTCAGCATAAGCGAAAGTGTGGATCATTGATCGACTCTAACGCGCACGTCATGCAAATAATAATCATAATAAGTGTTGCTGTGACATGGAAATTGTGGGCGCAAGTTATGCGATCGAGTCCACCAACTAAACCAGATTTTGGACAGTCAGACGTGCACAATCTAGCACAAAATTGACAACCCGGTTTAGTCGGTGGACTCGATCGCATAGCTTGTGCCCACAATTTCCATGTTTACAATTTTTTGTCCATGGCTCACTGTCTGAGTTCTTAGTGTTTGTTGTATTTGACATTTTTTTAAATACCCGTGATGAGGATGGGACGAAGACGTTCGCTAACCAAATTGGCTTCACTTGACTGTGTGGATTGCGTCGGTGCTGACACTTATTTCGAAATTGGACGCCCCTCCAATTCTTTTCCTTACAAAATAAGAACACGAAGAACTAAAAGTCAACCAACTAAATTCTGTTAAAAATCATCCTTGAGAGCTGCCCACATCAATAATCCTCGACGCGCTCAAGGTATCCGGTTCAGGTATGGTGGCCCCTTGGAATGCCTCATCCGATTCCTCCACGGCACGTTGCAACTTGTTGGCACCCCACTGATATCAAAGACATTTTGCGGATAAGTAGCTGCCTTGGTATTATAATTTTATTCACGCTGCAGGGGCGTCGGACACGGTACGGTCACTGCAGTATTGACCGTACCACTTTTTGCCCCAGGTACCCCGTGAATCAGTAAGATACACTGATCTGGACTCTAAATTTCCAAAATTTTCGGGTCAGTAACCCCTCCCCCACGAGTAAATTGTACCTCGGATGGCTGACCGTACCACACTTAGGGGCCGTTTACATGAGGAAAATAAGCCCGGGCTTATTCGCCTCGGGCTTGTTTTTCAACCGTTTACATGACGGTTGTACGGGGCTGAGCTCAGGTGAGTGACTGCGAGTTCTGCGCGCATTTTATTTTTCAAATCGCACATGAACGCAGTGGTAAATGTTCGTGTCTGATGAAATTTGGATCAAGAAATGCCGGCTCAGGTTTCTACTGCCTTTCCAATTGTAACTTATTTTTCGAGAAGGTGAAGGATGGGCTAGGACCTTCCACTGGACAAAAACCAGAAGAAAACATACCAAGAAATAAATAAAGGAGACGCACTGTCCACGGCCACATTCTCTCAGGTTCACGAGGCAAAATCGAAAAATACGGAAAAACTCGCTTATAAGCCCTTCTTGACCGTTTACATGACAAAATAAGCCCTGGGGGTTGGATAAGCTCGGGGGTCAAGGGTAGGGCTAGTTCAGCTCGGGGCGAGCTGAATAAGCCCGCCTGACCATGTAAACGCGCGCTCTAAAATGACTGGGTGACAGATCAAGGCGGGCTTATCGTACGCCTAGGGTTGATTAAGCCCGGGCTTATTTTTCTCATGTAAACGGCCCCTAAGGCTGCGTTTACATGACAATGCTGGGGGTGAAAACGCAAGAAAATCCTTTCGGATACATGGTTCATTTACACGGTACAGAGAGCAAAACGTAGAAGTTGTACACCAAAACGGAAGAAAACCAAAACGCTGGCCAAGGTGGAAGAATTTGAAAACGGAAATGTTCTGCCGCATAAATTTGGGTGTGTAAACAGTCGAAACGGTATGCTGGCCTCGTTTTCCGTCACGTGTGTTTCGTTTTCGGCCGTTTACACGGATCCGACAATCAATTTTTATAATTTTCGTCATGTGACGAGTGTTGTTTTGTGGCCTGTTTTCAACAATTACTTGAGTGTGATTGGTGCTTCCACGACAACACTTGGCACATGGCGAACTTTTGCGGATCCTTTGCTCTCCCGTGTAGACGCGCGAAAACGATACAAACGGAGACCACCTCGGATCAGCTTTGATCGTGTAAACGCACAAAAAAGAAATGCGGGACTGAAAACGGAAAACTGGCCGTGCGTGTCGTGTAAACGCAGCCCAAAATACCTTCCGACGCCCCTGCGCTGTGTCCCATGAAAGTCACTCTGATGATCTCTTTTTGGAAAAGGTAAACCTGCCAGTCATACCTGAAACATCTTGTTTGCAGTGCGACTAAACTTGCGTCGCAGTTTGTCTAACTCCCTGTAGAATCGAGGACGCGCATAAATTGAAAACAAACAAAATATTGCAGAGAAATCTTCTCTCTTACAATATCTCTTACAAGCAACTCGGTCACCTTGCAGGTGCGGCTACTGAATCGGACAAGAACATTTTGATTTCTGTGGCATCGGACAACTTGTCGCGTTTGGTTTACTTGGCAACTCTACCAGTCGCCCGTGTTTGTCTGATCGCACGGGACTGAGAAAGTCGCCGATCTGGAAATATTATTGGTAACCTTGGATGACCCTTTAGCAAGATGAACGTTTTACAAAACGAAAAGTTTTAGTATATTTCAGCCCCCCCCCCCCCCCTCCACCCTTTCTGCAGGTAAAACGAATTCGTAACTGGGCATTCTCCATCTGCATTCAACAATTATTTTCAAAACGAAACTGCATCAAACCCACCCACCCCCAAACGAAAACCTTTCGGTCTGAAAATATTATTGGTAACCTTGGACGGCCCCTTAGCAAGGTGAAATTCTAACGAATTCTGTCTCAAAACTGACAAACTACTGTACATGTACATATTGTTTTGCACATAACGACTTCAAATGTTAACGGTTTTGTAAAATTCGTTAAATCGTTAGAATTACATGTTCGTTAATATGGTTGATAAATATGGCGGTAAAGACACACCTGGCAATATGGCGGTAAACACACGCCTGCCCACACACGCTCTCTAGGCTGCAAAGTTCTGGCACAGAGCTCTCCTTCTCACCACCACCACCATCAGTTCGCGCCTGGTCGATGCATGGCTGGCGGTATCCGGCATAGCAGGCTGGTACATCAAGTAGCGCATGGCACATAGATGATGACACAGCAACGACATAGCTCGATTGCGACGTACGTTAATATGGTGGTAAAGACACACCTGGCAGGTGTGTCTTTACCACCACATTTATCAACCATAAGTACAGCTGCAGTGATGTCTTCAACTTCATTGTTCGTTAATATGTTCGTTAATATGTTCGTTAACATTACTGGTCTTACAGTATATGTGTTAGTGTGGTGAGGCATTACACCATGCAGTGTTGTGTATGTAGAACAGAAATACTCATTCTGCACATGTGTCCTGTTCTTTTAATTGATTTCTCCAGGAATGTCTCCCACAATAAATTTTCGGTCGTATCTGAATTTTATCCTCAGACTAATACGTTGCTAACCTTGTAAGACATTGACCTAGGCGTGCAGTCTCTCTCTCTCTCTCTCTCTCTCTCTCTCTCTCTCTCTCTCTCTCTCTCTCTCTCTCTCTCTCTCTCTCTCTCTCTCTCTCTCTCTCTCTCTCTCTCTCTCTCTCTCTCTCTCTCTCTCTCTCTCTCTCTCTCTCTCTCTCTCTCGCGCGCTCTCTCTCTCTCGCGCGCGCGCTCTCTCTCTCTCTCTCTCTCTCTCTCTCTCTCTCTCTCTCTCTCTCTCTCTCTCTCTCTCTCTCTCTCTCTCTCTCTCTCTCTCTCTCTCTCTCTCTCTCTCTCTCTCTCTCTCTCCTGCTCGATATCACCTTCTCTGATGAGCCTTATGAAGGCGAAACAGCTGTCAGGAGGAATTTCAGTATCTACCTGCAACCCTTCCTTGTATGGCTGTTGGTGTGTGAAATGGCTACGGAGGGTAGCAGTGAGTGAGGAAAAGTTCTTTACATTTTATTGGCCGAATAGTACCGTTCACCATTTGAAATATTTTAATCTTTCCTCGAAAAATATGTTTTGGCATATGAAATCCATTGTGAGGAAGAAGAGGTTGTTGCGACTTCGACCATACTTGGAGAGTTGTGTGTTGCTCCCTACGTGGGAACTCGCTATTTTCCTGTCGACTTGAATTCTCCGTTGACTGACTCACAACTGCTAGCTCTGTACAACAAACCTTCCGTTTGGCAAAAGCATTCTGCTCAGTTTTTGCAGCGGAAACAGCTGTACACACAGTAGATTATTGGTGGAAGTGGGTAGTGTAGGAGGGGGATGGTGTGGTGATGGTGTGGTGATGGTGTGGTGATGGTGTGGTGATGGTGTGGTGATGGTGTGGTGATGGTGTGGTGATGGTGTGGTGATGGTGTGGTGATGGTGTGGTGATGGTGTGGTGATGGTGTGGTGATGGTGTGGTGATGGTGTGGTGATGGTGTGGTGATGGTGTGGGGATGGTGTGGTGATGGTGTGGTGATGGTGTGGTGATGGTGTGGGGATGGGGGGGGGGGGGGGGGGGATGGGGGGGATGGGGGGGGGGGGGGGTCAACGACCATTAGTTCACTTAAAAGCTGTGGTGTTTCGCTAGGCTTCTGCCGCACGCAGTCCCGTAATAGACCAATCCCGAAAAGATTGTCTGGGTTCGAAAGGGGGCATGTCAACTGAGAGTACACTGTACAACACATACATGGCACTACCTGATCAGCATGCGGCACAGGACGTGTTTGATAGTTCGCGTGTGAATGCAAGGGTAAGTACACGGTTTTCTCGTTAGTTGCATGCAAGAGAGACGATGCGACAGAAAGCAAAGCCTTTGTAGTTTTCTCTCTCCCACTGGTAATGGTCTGCTGTTGGAGTTGAAATGCTAAGACATAATCCTTGTTTCGCTCTTCTGTGTAGTGTGAAGAGGTCAACGAACATGTAGAGCTCACTTTGATGAAGTAGGCAAGGCTGTGAGCGCTGTGGCTCAAAGCGATAGGCCCTAAATCTTACGAGATATTTCGAGTGCTATTGTTTGTTGCGAGCGCTTCGTCTTCGATGAGTTCTGCCTCTTTCCTGGCAGCTGCCCTCCTATAGGACCAACCACGACGTGACTGTACTCATCTGCAGCCGATCAGTGTTATATTGCACAAGAAGATATCGTTTTCGCCAAGCCAGTGCCCCGCCAAAGACCATCGCCGTGTCACACCGTCGGAACGAGTTCATGATGAGAAACATCATTCGCGCGAGCGTGATGAAGAACTATTTCGAAAGACAACATAGTCTTTACCCCCGAGACGACAACTATGCGCACGTCCTGCAAGGGGAGAATGTCACCAGCGACATCAACGAAGACGACGGCAGTATTTCGGAAACCTGGAGTCAGCGGAGGTCGTCAAGCTCCTCCGCGACCCGGTACATGTACAGTAAAGGTGATATGTCGACAGGAGCGTGCGGAAACACAGCATACACTGTAGTAATGTTGCGAGAGTTTGCGGAAAGAGTCCAAGTCGGGAAATCCATCAGCTCCAAAAGCTACCTGTAGGTGGACGATGAGAGTCCAGCTTAAGACTACAACAGTCAGGACTTGTAAATAGTTGAACTTTGTGAAGCGGCAGATCGAGTTAGTTAGCTGAAATCGTAGCCTGTTGCAGTATGTCGGCGCTATGTAGCTTGCATTTTTTACGGAGAGTCCATCGCCACGCGAATGTTTCTCTCCTCACCGAGAGCTTGCTGGCCTCCAAACTCCGTCAGGGTCTGCCTAAGGTACCGAAGGTCCTTTGACTAGCTGCTGGCAGGACTCCATCAAATCCTTTAGCTTCAGCTCGGCGAGCAAAAGTCTCTCTCTCCTCCGCCATGAGCTGACACACACAAACTGAATACAAAACGATGCACTTCACACGTGCTGGCTTGCACGCGTGCCCCCTTTCACGAACCCAGACAATCTTTTCGGGATTGGTCTATTGACAGTTTACCAAGCTCACACTCGACGGGGTCACTCACAACACGAAAGACTTTATGGTTGATTAGAAGTAGAACGCCATGTCACGAACCGATTATTTCGTTCCAAGACAACTACAAGTACTAAAAAAACAACTCTCTCCAAACAAAGGCAGTGCAGCCAAACAAAAGGTACAGCTAAAACCTCATGCCCCACGCACAAGAACGCAACAACCAAAAGGCTACACTGTGCCAAGGCTGGCTCAGCGACACCGACCGCAGCGGAACCTTAATGGTAGCCCGCTGTACAAATTCGATATTACATCAGGCATCAAGGTGCCCTCAAGGGGGGCACATGGAAATAGTATGATGCCAGGAGATAACGGTCAAATCACAGAGAACAGACAGCATGACCGCAATGGCAATCAGGAAGAGAAAGCAGATCGCAACTGAACTGTTCAACATGACATGAAGGTGTAGACTGAACTCCGTGGCATTCTCGCCACGCCAAGTTGCAACCGTGAATGTCTCTCTCTGTCCTATTTTCTTGCAGGGATGTGTCACACAATTTCTTCACGTCTTTCCCTAAGGCAATCCACTTGCCTAATTTATTGCGCTTGTAAGAATAATGTATGAACCTACCCCCCCCCCCCCCCCCAACACACACACACACCATTCTTGATCTTTGTATAATTGTATACCGTATCTCAACGTTATTGTCGTAGAGGCGAAAGATGCAAGGTTGAACCCCAATCGAGCAAAGCTTGATCACGGCCAAAGGTTTCATTTCCAGGTCGGCTAAAGTTTCTCACCGCCCAAAATGTACCCCATAGAAAGGGTATCATGGGTTGAACACTCTTGGGGGGTTGTATAATCTTGCTGGTATCCGGGAGCGGTTTTTTCAAGCCGTGCTGTTACCCACAGTCAACTGGGAACTTGTGGCTAGGCGCAAGGGGTACACGGATGCGGCTAATGGGGTCTTTCTCGCCACTTATGCCAGTGGTTGTGACACTTATCCCCTCACCCCCACCGTTAGGCGCTGCATTTGCCGCTAGGGTGACCGCCGTGAGTCCCCCTTTGGGAACAGAACGATAATCTACTCCTTTTTTTTTTTTTACTATACCGCCTGATGCAGTGGGAGCAAGATTCAACAGGTGCAAGTGTGTTTGTTGACCAACGCCTGGCACCACCACCCGTGCAAGAAATAGATCTGGTTGCATGCAGGGGGAGGGGGGGGGGGGGAGGAGCAACTGGCAAAGCAGCGTACGCGTTTCCTCTGAACGTCCGCGACTTGCCCACCAACCTGGGATTGGTCTAAGTCCTGTTGAGTGTTGAGTTTGAGCTTAGCCTGTCCGTTGTGAAATTGTATCTATGGTACATTCATTAGATATTGGCATCCTGACTTTTCCTGATGTTTTACTGTTCATACGGCTATTTTGTGTGTTCGTTTCCTTTTGTACGTGGACCTACATAGGTTCTGTACTATGCTCGAGCGCTCTGCAACTCGGTGCATTGAGCACTGGCACGACCAACCGCAACTCTGTGTCAGGTGTTGACGGTACAATTTACGTTATTGGAGAGGTTCCGCACTACGTAAAGTTGAGCGACTTTACTTCAGTGGGCGAGAAAAACCCGTGAATTCGCGAGTTTGCACTCCACTTACGGAAAGTTGTCTACGTAGAGTACGTAGATAGGGCTCTCACAACGTAGGTGCTCCGTAAGTGGATTGGGGTAATTTATGACTCTCTCCCCAGGTCGATCCGGTCGTACGCTGCCGCGTTCAGAGTTGCCAGGGGCAGCTACGTGATTTGAAAATTCCGTATGGCGGAACGCAGATCCGCATGCAGTTTACGTAAGACGTTCCTTACATCGACTACGTTTTTTTACCAACGTAATTACGTTTTGCGGAACCTCTCTATTGTGTCTGGCAGAGCTCACTGACTTGTCAATTTGAGTACTCTGGCAAGGCACGTTCGGACCTGGTTTAAATCTGGCTTTGGTAAATTTATTTTTCATTGCCTTCAAGTACGGCCTCATTTTCTCTGTGCTGCTCTGACGAGTCAACACAGGAGCAAACAGTTCTGTCCGCAGATTGAGTCATTGTGCAATGACGTAATTTGTGGAGTGGTGAGTTGTGTGGTACTGACGAAATGGTCGAGTTTGTCATTAGTTTCTCTTTACTGTCGAACTGTTCTGTCTGAATCTTGTAGCTGATCTCTGTCTTTGTGTGTATGTGTGTGTGTATAATATGTGTGTGTGTGTGTGTGTGTGTGTTTGTGTTTGTGTGTTTGTGTGTGTGTGTGTGTGTGTGTGTGTGTGTGTGTGTGTGTGTGTGTGCGTGTGTGCGTGTATGTGTGTGCGCGCCCGCATGCAGAAACCTGTCTAGCAATCCTATTGCCACGGTCGGAGCCGACGACTTGTCCCAAAAGACTGAAAAGATCCAAGAGCTGTAAGATTACTGTGACTCAACGTAGCGGTATTTTCTCACTAGATTGTGTTGCCTGCTCGTGTAGTGTGCCGTACCGTGAACTGGTGGCTCAATGTCTGCTCCAGATTCAGTTCGTCATTAAAAAAATTTATACAAAAGAGAAAGACCAAGGAACTACAAGTTACGCTATACTGTCCACTAACACCACCAGTTACTAAACAATCAGCTCATGCGATAACATTGCACGACACTGGCCGACGGTACTGACGTTCTACAACTAACTGGCTAACAGCTCTAGCACATCTTGGATACGCACTCCAACAACCAAGACAAGCACGAGCTGAACGTCTCAGCTGTGAAGGACGTTGGCGTTCACAGCTGAGGCTCGTGCTTGTCTTGGTTGCGCTCACCTTCCCCTCCTTATGTTATTTCTATAACCTAGAACCTTCCAAGTTGGAAGGCTGTTGGAGTGCGCATCCAAGATGTGCTAGAGCTGTTAGCCAGTTAGTTGTAGAACGTCAGTACCGCCGGTCAGTGCTGTGCAATGTTATCGCATGAGCTGATTGTTTAGTAACTGGTGGTGTTAGTGGACAGTATAGCGTAACTTGTAGTTCCTTGGTCTTTCTCTTTTGTATAAATTAAATCTTGGCTCTCCATCTGAGTCCATTAAAAAATGTGTACATTCGAAGAGTAGGAATGGAAAGCCTGTTACAGGACCGCCGTACAAACTGTCTTGTGACAATGGTGGAAAAGAATTCTAAATATCGTATTTCGAAGTAATAATTTTCGTACTCTTTCTTTTGCTGTGACCAAGAGTACATTACCAAGAGTGTGCAGCTCGACGACCCCCCAGGCCACGGCGGAATTTTATTATGACATCAATCTTTGGCGGCTGTTTGGCTGACTGATGCCTTTATGCGTCGCCAGAGATCAAAGTACAAAGAATGTGTATGTCGCAGCTACGGTAGTCAAAGCAGAACAACGGACGGTATACCGATGTGTCTTGAACCGGATGAACTCTCCCCGTATCTACAAAACAAGCGCGGGAAAGCGTACGCACTTCATCATACTTCTGCCGAAGAATGACGCAATAAAAAAATTCCGCCGTGGGTGAACCCATTGCCGCTCAAGATAGGAGTTGCACACTCTTGGTTATGTACTCATCATGATACTATGATCTTTACTCTTATTATATATTTACTCTTATTTTGCTCGCAGGTCTCTGCGGAAATGCAATATATCAACATTGCCAGTTGGACTAAAGCTACCAGATCTCAAACAGTTGTAAGTGGCTTGGCCAGCCTGTGCTTCAGTTTGATCAACACACACCGAGAGTCTAACTCTCACCGTGTCCCTGACCCGGGCACATTCATCTACCAGGCACCCTTCTGCCCCATGTAGAGTCACGAAAGTTGGATTTTCTTTTGTTAATGAAAGACTGGTCCGGAAACTAGTCTCTGGCAAAGAAAAGGACCAAGGAACTACAAGTTATTAATAGGGAGGTTTAGTCGCACGTAATCCGTGGGTACTTTACGTGTGTGTACCACGTGATACTCAGTGACCCACGTACAGACGTTTTCTGATCCACGACATACAGTGTATGGAGGCTCGCCCACGTTCCGCCAGAACGTGGGTGAAAATCAGAATGGAGCGCATTGTGCGAGCTGTGAGGGTGCTCAGCTGAAGGAGTTTCCGAAGCACGAAATCAAAATATCGGATGAGCTTCTTAGGCCCGGGTAGCTTCGTCTTTGACCAGGTTTGGGCCTTTTGCTTTATGCTTTTGTTTGTTCCATGTGACTAAATACAACATTGCAACGTGGGTGCCCTTCATCCACTTTACGTGGATCACCCACGTACGCATTTTCGTTACGTGGGAACTAAACCTCCCTATTATTATTTTAAAAAGAAGGTAAGTTTTGGGTTGCAAGTACCGTAAAGTACCGTTGATCCGCCCCCACTCTAATTCCCCCCCCCCTCGATTTTCTGTCTCTGAAGCGACTTCAGAATTATACGGTAGACAAATTATGCGTCTTTCTGTACTCATGTCCATATGCATACAGCCAACCTCGTACTACTTTCTAGTGCGCAAACAAACATTCGGGTAGAGTCTGTGTGAATGTGTACGTCGAGTTTGACCTTTCTCACCTGTTTGCGTCTGAAAGATACAACACCGCATTGTCGTACAACGACACTGCACCAAACAGCCTTGATCGAATTCCCGCCCCCCCCCCCCCCCCTTACGGTCTCCACGCAAACACACATCCAGTCACAATAAGGCACTTGTCAAAAGTATCCGAACGTCTTCGGTCCCTTCTCATCAATGATTATACAGGGAATGGCTCAAGTTGGAAAGACTAAAACTTATATAGCGTAAAGATAATGAGATAACAACACTCGTGACAAGGTGGAAAATTATCAAGTTCAGCACGACACAACACTCGAAGGAGATAATAATAGTGAAAAGAACATAGTGAGCAAATTAAGTTACATTGTTAACACCTGGACGAGGAGTAACACCAAACAATTGTAGCGACAACACATTTTCTTTCTGTACGCAAAGTTCAGGATCTAACTTACGGATATACAAAGCTTCTAACGCAGCCAAATGCAACGCACATCTACCACGTGACAATATTGAGAAAACAGTATCACTGTACAACTCACGACAATTGGTACGGGCTGACAGGTGTTGCTTGATTGACGAAGTGCGATTCTTAGTCAACGGCACAAACTGCCATGGAGCACTGAGACATTCAACGACCTGACACCTAGCTCCAACTGGCCGAGGCTCTGTGTGATGAGTGGAGGTGTGTATTAAAGTAGGTAGAAAGATATCTATTTGGAAAAGAAAACTAGTCGTTTGGGGGGGGGGGGGGAGGGGGTTTAGCGTCTGTTCGTTTCCCAAAAAATATCGATGCACAGTTTGTATGTGTGGGCACGTCCAGAAAAGAAAAGGAAAAATATCGATACTGTGCATCGTTTGTATGTATTCGTTTCTGAGGGAGGGGGGGGGGGGGAGGGGTTGAAGAGAAACGACTAGTTTTCGTTTCTAAGGGGCCGTCCGTAATTATCAAACGTTTTTCACCAAACGAATTATTTTAGTTTAGACCCAACCCCTCCCTCCCTCCCCCTCAGAACGTAAAAAATGTTGACATACATGCTTATACAACGGCCATGTGCATGGATCAATGTTTTCTGAAACGAAATTGGTCAACCCCCTCCCACCCCATAACGAAATTATTTCGTTTTGTGAAAAAAGTTCGATATTTATGGACGACCCCTAAATAAATTTAACCCTTTGGTGCCTGACTGAATTTTGGATTTTTCGTACTTTTGGCTCAATTTTTTGGTGTTGTGTCCCACCCCAGGGGGTTCCACTCGGACTCATCCAGCTCAATCACACACACAGACACACACACACACACACACACACACACCCACACACACTCGAGGCCATTACAGATTTCAGTACATCTCAAACTCCATATCCGAAAAAGACCAAGCTCACGTGCGAGCATGCGCACTACATACATATGGTCCATGTCCAGGACATGACAATTTCCCCCTCACTAGTTGAGGCGAAGCATCAAGAACTATGCAATAGTAAACATATCAACATGCAACATGCAATCTCAAAACTCACAACTGCCGAGACATAATATTTCATGATACACTATACACCATAATTATATACACCATAAATATATAATTATATACAATATCCAGCAGAGTCCAAAATATATCATTTAAACTCCACAGACTAGAATAGGTCTATATGAACTGTGTGTTCTGAACGTCAATCCTTGAAACGAACTGGTCGAACAGTAGCGCGGGTTGACCGTCGTTCAGCTTGCGGTGACGACATCTTGCTGTAGCTGGCACGTGAAGTGCTAACCGACGCAGACTCACTAGTACCGGTTGTTGCTGAGACCGGCGCGCCTAGCTCCGCTGCCGTGACACTGGCGTCGTTGTTGCTGAGTGACGGCTGTGACGGAAACTGTGCTGTTAAACTTGCTCCACTCTGCTCAGACACCCCTGCATCGAACTGAGGGATTTGCCGAGGACGGAGCTGGTTGCGATGGCGTTTCCACATTGCATCACCGACTTGTATCTGATACATCATCGGACTGAGAACAGCCGTGACCACAGTCGGGGCCCACTTATCTCCTCCTTTGCCGAAATTCAAAGCCAGGACAGCTTGGCCGCACTGAAATTCCGGCATGTGCTCCATATTGTTCTCGTAAACCTCCATGCGAAATGAGGTATGAACCGTCGCAAGAAATTCGCCGTTCCAATGAATGATTAAAGCTCGTTAACATTCGAAGGAGCCTTAGCGTCCCGCATTGCCTCAATCTTATCCGCTGTGGGAGCCACACCAGCACTAGAAATCGTGTGACCCAGGTTGGAAATCTCATCCATCATGAAATGTAACTTTCTGGGATTAAGCTTCATCCCGACCTCCTGAAGGCGACGTAGTACCCTAATCAGGTTGTTGTGGTGTTCATCCTCATCCTTCCCAGTAATCAGGATGTCATCCACATAGACGAAGTACCCAGGCAGATCTGCCAATATGGGTTCCATTGTGCGTTGGAAAATTGCCACTGCCGAGTGAATGCCAAACGGCAATCTCACGTATTCATACAACCCCTTGTGAGTAGAGATTGTCGTGTACGGCCGAGAAGCTGGATCAAGCTCCAGTTGGTGATAGGCTTGGGAGAGATCCAATTTGGTGAATTTATCTCCCCCGACAATTTCGCTAACATCTCCTCAATAGTAGGTAGCGGGTAGTGCTCCAAATCAGACTTGGCATTGATTGAGCGAGAGTAATCAGCACAAATTCGGATACTACCATCCGATTTCAGTACTGGCACAGTAGGCGATGCCCATTTGGAGTGCTCAACTCTGCTTCCAATTTCTCCAAAGCCTCCTCGTACTTCTCCGTGATAGAGAACGGTACGGGACGCGCCTTGTGGAAAATTGGATCAGAATCATCCACTTTCATGGTGATTTGAGCCGACCTCAGCTTGCCAACCTGAGTCGTATCGAACAGCTCCTCAAATTCCTCAATGAGAGCTCTCCTCCTACCATCTATTTGAACATGATTGACATTGACAATCTGTTTCCACGGTAGAGTAAATTGGGACAACATATCCCTGCCCAACAATGACGGACCACCATTATCCACCACACGGAGTAGTGTTGGTTTCTCCACACCATCAATGCTGACATTGAACTTCCCTTCACCAATACATTTGATTTCTACCCCAGAAAAAACGGTCATGCGTAGACTCGGTTTGGTTAAATTTGTACGAGACACCCCAAGTGACTCAAAATCATGGACAGAAATGATTGAAACGCCACTGCCCATGTCGATTTCCATTACAACAGGAACATTATTCACAGCAACTTCCAATTTGTAGGAGGGAACAGATTTGCTCTTCAATTCGCCCTGATCCGAAATGTGGAACATTGGCATGCACTCAAGATCAGCAGATTCATGCTCACCTGCGTCATCAGTCACAACATTGTGCACCGACGCGCCTGACGTGGATTTCTGCCGACAAACACGCTCCAAGTGCCCCTTCCTGTGGCAGTGATGACACTCAGTGGCCTTGTGTTTGCACTTATCCGCCAAGTGTTGAGTAGACCCATAGCAGGTAGCACAATCTCTGCTCTAGAGATTGATGAGATTGACGAGAAACACCAGACTGCGGCTGCGAACGCGATTTCACTGGCCGGGGATTCACCTTGTGCACTTCGTGCTGAGAGGTCAGCTGCACGGCGCCGCTGATTCCTGCGTCAAAGCTAGTTTGACGATGTCATTGAATGACTGTGCCGAAGTATCTTCTTTCGTCAATAGGGCTTGAAAGTGCTACGTCACAGCATAGCAACAATTTCAAAAATTCAAAAACTGGATCCACTTGGATCCAGTTTTTGTATGGATCCTAGCACATTTCAAGCGGTCTTACCCACAGTATGGTGATGTAGCCAGTGAAACTGACTGATTTGGCCACTGGGGCGGGGTTACAACTGGTGGCGAAATAAAAGTCACACCTGCATGCGACATGAGTGGGTTGCTATGCACCCACATACTTAGGCAATAGCAAAGTCACACCTTAGTGGATCCAAAAATAGAAATCTGATGTCAACTTACTACTCCCTGGCCGTTTTGACGTCATCACTTTCAAGCCCTATAAGAAATTCCGAGTGGATGAGCTGCTCAAGCCAGCAATAAACTGGTCTTGAAGCGCTCGATCGAGGTGATCAGCAAACTCACACCTCACAGCCAATCTATTCAGACGAATGATGAAATCCGCAGTCGACTCATTTTCCTTCTGCTTCAACTGATGGAAATGGAACGTCGCCGAAACTTGCGAAATTGCAGGTTGAAAATACTTCCTCAAAAGATCGCAAATCTCTGAAAGTTTCTTGTCAGCTACTTTCGCTGGCAAACAGAGGCTCCTCAAAATCGAGTAGGCTTCCGCAGACAGCAAACTCACTAATACAGCCTTCCTTTTCTTGCTGGCAGCCAACTTGTCTGCAGCATTGGCCGAAGCAGCCACGGTTCCAATATCATTTGCAAAAAAAAAGAGAATTCAAGTCTTTCCTCAAACTCTTGAAAGTCGCCGCCGGTAAACGGCTGAAGCGATGATATCCGAGCCATATCTTCGTCGCCAGTTGTTGTGTCCTACCCCAGGGGGTTCTACTCGGACTCATCCAGCTCAATCACACACACACACACTCGAGGCCATTACAGATTTCAGTACATCTCAAACTCCATATCCGAAAAAGACCTAGCTCACGTGCGAGCATGCGCACTACATACATATGGTCCATGTCCAGGACATGACATTTGGAAAGCCCATATCTCCGCAACAGTTTAGATGATGTAGGGACAAAAGTATGTATTCTGAATGGCAAGACACAGCAAAATCCGATTTTTGAATTTTCAAGTCAGAAAATCTACAATTAGGGTCAGGGTACAGCGCTGGTCCAAGAACATCTTGGTCGCCAACACCACTCAGCACGCCGAATCCACTACCTCGTCCACGGCCTCCGCCACGCGCGCCACGCACGCCACGATCAGCTGTTCCATCAGCTGGCTGAGCTCGACCAGCGCCGCGAGCAATTCCTCCGCACAGCGCGAGCGGAGCACGTCCACGAACTGGCTGCGCTCGCCCTTGCCCTACAGCTTCTTGAAGCTCATCGTCGGAAAATTTGTCCTCATCTGAAGAGCTGCCGTTCTCAAGAAATTCACAGAAAACCAAATCATCGTTGAGTCGCTCTTCCTCATCTGATGACAACAGGTTTCCATCAGAGAAAAGAGCGTCAGATTATTCACCATCGTCGTCTTCTGATTCTTCTTCTACAGGGGCATCATCGGCCTCCAGCTCTTCAAACAACTCAAGCGCTCCCGCAGCATCCATGACGGAGGTCAACTGTAGTACCCATGAACTGTTGTACTAGTCGAAAACGAAGCGAAACAGCAACGTTTTGTTCGTGTTGCGCGACGCGTGCGTAGGCTGCAACGCTCGATTGACTTCCGCTAATCTGCGCGATCGTCGTTGATCACGACTCGACTTTTTCAAATGCAACCCCCCTACTTTCTCTATTGCTATCTACAGGCCAGCTACTGAAGGGTCTCTGTACAAAAAAATCAGGCACCTGCGATGTACGTGACCGGCTCTGTGCTCGATTGTAGTATGCACTGTCAGCGTAGGTCGAAATCGACCTACCGGCACCTAAGGGTTAACTCGGATGGTGAGCCTATTAAATTATTGTGAAAAGAAGAAGCTAAATAAATATCGGTATTTACGGATGGCCCCTAAGCACATGGCTTATAAGTGAATTTTTTGCTACGAATCCAATTTTCAAAATGAATTATTTTCACCTGAACGCGCAATGCGCGATCAGAGTTTGTTTGCCAGACTCTTTGTGTTTGACTAGGTCTTGTAGTGGCAGTTATATGCACACCCCTGTGTGCTGTTTACAGGCTTTATCCGTGATTGTGTCAAAGTGATAATCTGTTTCATACCTAAAATGTCAATACACCGAACAAACACTAACACACATAATCCAATAGGGAAGTGCTTCTCTGTACCGAAAATTTCTGTTCACCTAGCCTGGCCTTTTGCCCTCATACCGAAAATATTGAGCACCGACAATTTCTGAAATTAGAGTATCTGCTAATCCTGTGCTGGAACTGCACATGTATGTACTGTCTTGTGTCCCACCTGCAGAGATCTCGGTCACAACCAGATCACAGATGTTGAAGATCTGAAGTTGAATTCAATGAAGCTCGAGATTATGTATGTTTGCGGTAGAATTGTGAGATATGTGTGTGTATGTATATATATGTGTGTGTGTATATATATGTGTGTGTGTGTATGTGTGTGTGTGTGTGTGTGTGTACGTGTACGTGGGTGTATGTGTACGTGGGTGTATGTGTGTGTATGTGTATGTGTGTGTGTGTGCGTGTACTTGTACGTGGGTGTATGTGTGTGGATGTATGTGTATATGTGTATATGTGTCCCCCATATGGTGCAGTGGTATGTGCAGCGATTTCCAATCCAGAGGTTGCGGGTTCGATTCCCGACGATTATGGTCACACACGTCTTTCTTCTCTTTCTCAGACTCCTGACTTGTCTTTCATTCTCCTGGGTGGTTACCAACAGCCAGTGCATGCTGGAGTATGTGGCAATTTAATTTTGCTGATTTCACCCCTTGGTACCGACCACCCAAAGTAAAGCATCGGCCAAAGTTTGTCATAGAAGCACATGATGCATAATTCATCAATGGGTGCATGTGTGAGTAACAGCTACCGATCGATTTCTCTTTTGAAAGTCCCAATGGGCCAAAGTTAAATGACGGCCAAAAGTTTCGTTTAGGGATCTGCCAAAGTTTCTCACCAGCAAAAGTTTGTTGCTTCGCAATGTTTCAGTTTAGGTGTGAACGTTAGTTTGACCTTCATGAGCTGCCCCATATGTGAACGAGCGCAACCGACGCACTCAAATGCAAAACCTCGCCGGATCGTCACTCAGTCAAATCGAGGAGAAAACTATCAACTGTTTGTTTTCCAAGGTTCAGTTGGAGAAGTGGAAAGGCCTGAAAAGAGAAAACAAAATGAAGACCCACCAGGACTCGAACCTGAGACCTTACTTGTCATGTATATTGTCTTCACTATGTGAGCTATGGAACCAGGCCGAACTTAAAAGGCGCTAACGTGTTCTTGATTTACTTAAGTTCCTTGCCTCGACAGTACAATGTACCAGCTGATGATAGAAGCAATTCGTGGAGTGCTGCCAGTAACGGTACTTCAGATAAGTTGCTCGTTAGGCATGCCGCGATCGCGTCAACTTCAAAAGTCCACCGTGCGACTCCAGCAATGAGAATTTTAAGAGTTTCGTCACGCTTATTCAATCAAATTTGCACAGGTTTCACATAGTATCGTTTATGGCGATGCGTCTTTGATTGGTGGAGTTACAACAGCTTGTACCCTGGGCTTTGCAGTATGATGCATTGCGCAAAAAATGGTGACCGCGCTGTCATGGAAACGTGGTCTGGAATATGTCTGGTACAGTAATGGGATTTTGTGTTCCGTTGCGAAAGAAATGGTTGGAGCAAGACGCAAGTGGGCGCATTTGGAGCACTTTCTGTGTCTTCGATGCATTCTAGTGTTAAATATACAGAGTCCTCACTAACATGAACAATCTCATGATCCTCATCTTGCGGAGACCTTCCCAGGAAATCCGAGGTTGTGCGTATTGAGAGGATAGAACAGAAGTCGTGTTTGTGTGTGCATGCGTGTGTGTGTTTGTGTGTGTGTGTGCGTGTGTGTGTGTGTACGTGTGTGTGTGTGTGTTTGTATGTGTGTGTGTGTGTGTGTGTGTGTGTGCGTGTATGTGCGTGCGTGTGTGTGCATGTGTGTCTGTGTGTGTATGTGCGTGTGTGTATGTGTGCACTTGTGTGTGGTCCCACAGATCCCTGGATAACAACCAGATAACCTCTCTCAGAGATCGGGCTTTTGGCGACCTCCGAGAATTGAGGGAAGTGTAAGTCAACCTAGAATGAACACTTTACAGCCCTGTGTGTGCGTGCGTGTGTGCGTTCGTGCACGCTCGTGTGTGGTGTGTGTGTGTGTGTGTGTGTGTGTGTGTGTATCCTGATGCCGTCAATCCTTTTTCTGCACCTTGTCCTCACCCACTTCCTGAGGTGTGGTGAGCCCATAAGTTAGGGATATCAGCGAACGCACTGCGCAGGTCAGCCTGCCCATCTACGCGCGGGCGACAAGAAAACACTTTCATTTTTTGCAAATTAAATCGTGCGAAGAAGATGCACGGAATGGCTGAAAACTAGGCTGAGGAATAGTAGCATCCAGAGACTCTCAAACAAATTCATGGTCCATCGCTTCTGACCATGGCAGCGAAGACATCAGGGAGCTGATTGCAGCAACTCTTTACCAAGCGCGACGCTGGTTACTCACCAGGGCAGGGCACTTCCATCGCGCAAGAAATGGCCGCGAGCGAGAAATGTAAGTCCGATTTTGGAATGATCCAACCAGGGAAATCCCTTGAAAATTGGCCTGAACACCTCTCATACTGGTGTTTCACGATGTGCAAACTTTCAGAGAAATCGACCGGGAGAACGTGGTGAGTACGTTGGTCCTCCGCATCGCGTATGATTTGAATGGTCGCGGGGACAAAAGAACAGTAATTTTACGACTCCCAGCGGTGCAAACAGACCGCGGCCGTGTTGTCTCTGTCGGCCGCGATCACGTTCAAAAAATCGATGACGCAATGCATGCGCAGAGGCCTGCGCAGTGCGTTAGCTGACATCCCTACATAAGTGGAATCATTTTCAAGTCCACCCAGAGTTTTGGGGATTTCAGGGGGTGTCGGCCGTTGGGCGGTTCAATAGCCAATTTAGTCATCTTTCCAAGATTCCTTTTGAGTCTCTCTCCCCTCTCCCCAAACCCACGTGACCTGTTTTGGCAGTGAGCAACAAGTACAAGTATGTGTGTGTGTGTGCGCGTGATTATTGTTACACTGTTGATCCAGGGTATACTGGGTATACTGGGTATACAGGGTATACTGGGTATACTGGGTATACTGGGTATACTGGGTATACTGGGTATACTGGGTATACTGGGTATACAGGGTATACTGGGTATACTGGGTATACTGGGTATACTGGGTATACTGGGTATACTGGGTATACTGGGTATACTGGGTATACTGGGTATACTGGGTATACTGGGTATACTGGGTATACTGGTTATACAGGGTATACTGGGTATACTGGGTATACTGGGTATACTGGGTATCCTGGGTATACTGGGTATACTGGGTATACTGGGTATACTGGGTATACTGGGTTTACAGGTAGGGATATCAGCGAACACACTGCGCACGGGGTTTGCGCAGTTTTCAGCGCTACCATACCAATGTACGTACTGGCGGGGACAAAAAATTGACGCAAATAAAATGGCGACTGGTCGAACGTGGCTCGGACCTACATAATAATTTGAATAATTTGAAAGCACATACTGCTGTGAGCAGACCCCCATTGTTTCGATTCTGATGATGTCCGACTACTCTGCACCTCACTTTGGGCATCCTCTGCCAGCAATTACACTAACGAACTTATACAAAACACACAGTATTAAAAATCGGTGAAGGACGACAGGCGCCTAGGCCCATGTTCGTCGATCGTCCAAGCTTCTTCATCTTCCTGAGTTCTTCTTGAATGATCGACCTTGTGAACTTTTGACCTCTGGCAGTCTGGGACCTTGGATTGCTTCGGTCAATTTTTTTCTTGCTTGGCACATGGATAGATCCATGGGTGAGGTACCAGTTCACCAAAAATTGGAAGATTTCTCCGGTGGGAACGTTGTAAAAAATCGCCTTCGATTCACCCATGCTCCTTGGGCATCGAAGGACAAATTTGAAAATTCGTCTGAAGAAAGTCCTGGGGCTCGGCTCATCTGTAGTTGATCGCTTGGCTGTTACCGTAGGCATGTCACTCTCTACCCACGAATCCTTCACCAGCAGCGAATATACGAAGCAATCAACGAAACGGCAGATCCTGAGCGCAAGGTTCCGACTTCAGCCGCCATTCTCCTTCTTCTCCATCAAGACTCCTTCCAGTTTCCCGGCAAAAATATTCATTTTCTGACTTGGACTTTTCTGGCCGCGTGCGTGGCATGCTGACATGTACAAAATTTGATTACATCATAACTGCGCAAACCCTCTGCGCAGTGTGTTCGCTGATATCCCTAATACAGGGTATACTGGGTATACTGGGTATACTGGGTATACTGGGTATACCGTACTGGGCTGTTTGCCAGTACACTGAAAGGGCCGAGCAGGGTTCACACATCTTCACCAGATGTCTGGGGTTATGCAGCATATTAGTAGCTTCTCCGCATTGGTAATGTAATGTAATGTAGATATACACATCATGTACAGCTTTCGCATAAGCCGAAGCGACAACAGCCAAACAGGATATTGATGGCGATATAAAACATATGCGATATAAAACGCGTGACGAAGATAGAATACAGTTAAAACAAACAAACGAGCAGCTCAACCGAGTTGAATTTGAATTTGCTGATCATTACCAGGGTTCATCCGTGAGCAGTAACATATCTCTCCAGGATACGGCCGCTGAGGTACCTCCACGCCCCGCGATTCTGGGCGATCCTCCTCGGCTCCTCAAGATCTGCCGAGGTCTTGAGGGTCCTCCCAACCAGCTCGAGATCGTGTCTGAGCACGACCGGGAGAGTTGTGCGCGGCCTGCCCCTCCAGGTAGGCTCAGTGGATAGCTTGAAGTAGGAGCACATTGACAGGTAGGCTCAGTGGATGGCTTGAAGTAGGAGCACATTGACAGGTTCGCAGCTATGCAGCATACCAAGTCGAATTCCTGCAGTGATCCTACTCACCTGTGCCCTGGGCCATTTGACCTGGGTCATTCGACCTGGGTCATTCGACCTGGGCCATTTGACCTGGGTTATTTGACCTGGACCGTTTGACCTGGGTCATTTGACCTGGGCCATTTGACCTGGGCCATTGGACCTGGGCCATTCAACCTGGGTCATTTGACCTGGGCCATGTAACTTAGGTCATAATTATGACTTGTGGCCAAATTTCCGATTTCGCTCAAAGTTGGCTTCTTTTATCTCTGGGTGCACCTCATTTGCCCCTTAGGAGGGTTTGGTCTAGGCACCCTCCCATCCGTTCCTTGGATATTGGGCAAAATGCAAAATTGCCTACTAGTACACAGAGGCAGTGCTCAAATGCCCGAAATGGGCAGAGTGTAGTACATTACAAAAAAATTACAGTATATACGTACTGAAACAAGATACAAGAACGAGGGGTCAATGCTGCTCACAATAGCACAGTTCAGCCAAACAAACTATGTTCGCACACCGATCCAAGTTACCTAGTAAGGTTTAGCCATCCAACTCTCGACTGGTGACTTGCCGAGTCCCTCGAACGAATAGATCAATTTAACATATCCAATGACGGCCATTACGAAGGTCATTTTCAAGGGCCAGTAGCAGCGAGGTTACATCCATAAATTGGGGTAGACCACCACCATAGTCTGCTACAACAAGTCCCCAAGCGCTAACAAGTGGTCTTGACTAAGGTTATCCTATAAAAATCACTTTGGGAAATATTCAATTTTCGAGCTCTCCAACGGCCACGCACCAGCCTAATCCAAAGACGTGGCAGGAGAGGACGCACGGAGCGTCTCCATATACCGTAATGTCGCGTATAAAAGCAGGTGCTTACTGCCGCATAAGCCAGGGTTCAAACCATGCTTCTATTCAAGTTATGCTTCCATTCGAAACATGCTTCTACGTCAATATCATTAGTCTGCACTGTGCAGTACATACTGCCACGCACGCATTTGCACGTGTACCTTGCAGAGTGCGGCTTCTACGTCACCATCATCAGTCTGCACTGTGCAGTGCATTCTGCCACACATGTACGTGCGTATGTACTTTACAGGGAGCGGCTTCTATTCAAACCATGCTTCTGTGTTACGGCGCGCTTCAAAAAATCGACTTTTATTCCCGTAGCTATGCAGAAGACATTACTTCAGTAACGTCTGGCGCTGGCCAGGGTCCACACAGCTTTAAATTGGTGTTTGTGTGTTTGTGTGTTTGTGTCACGCCTGGCGCTATCCCGTATCTGTCCCGTACCGTACCATCAAACACAGCTGGCCACATACAGCTGGCCGCAATATTCAAATAGGGCTTTCAAACGCAAAATCATAACGTGAAGCAACTTGGTAGAATGAGTATGAATGCGAAGTGTATGGGGGAATGCATGTAGGGCGATAAAAAAAAAATAAAAAAAAGTAAATTATCGTGTCCGTTCCCGAAGGGAACTCACGACGGCCGCTAACACCCGGTAAACCCTAGCGGCAGATGCAGCGCCTAACGGTGGGGGTGAGTGGGTAAGTCTCACAACCACTGGCACAAGTGCCAAGAACGACCCCATTAGCTGCATCCATGTACCCCTTGTGCCTGGCCACAAGTTCCCAGTTGACTGTGGGTAGCAGCACGGCTGGAAAAACCGCTCCCAGGCAGGACTTGAACCAGGTACCTCTCGTATCTCAATCATCTGTGCCTGCCTGGTTATAGGGCGATAGTGCGGGTTCTAATCCCAGGTTATGCTAAAAAAATAGGAGAATTGAAAAATTTATAACATCTCTATGCTTTTTTTGCCTAGGTCATCAAGGCGGTAGACGGTGTCGTATTACCCTCGACCGTACATGTCCCGTACCTGTCCCGTACCTGTCCTGTACCGTACCGTGCTATCAGAGACGGCTGGCCACAATGCATATTCAAATAGGGCTTTCAAATGCAAGATCATAACGTGAAGCAACTTGGAAGAATTAGTTTGTATGCGAAGTGTATCGGGGGATACATACATGGCGATAGTGCGGGTTCGAATCCCAGGTTATGTCTTAAAAAAAAGGAAAAAATTTATATGAATTTATAACATCCGTATGCTTTTTTTTGTCTAGGTCATCAAGGCAAAAAAGCATAGCGTAGGGCCCTGAGCTTCCAAGGTCGCTCGTTCGAGTCACGCTTCTATGCAGGTCATG